AAAAAGATCATAAGAGTGGAAAAGAAAAAACGGAACAAAGAGCAAATAAGGAAGCGGATGAGAGTGGAGAAAATAAAACGATATAGAGTGAAAAAGACGGGGTGGATGACAATAGAGTGGGAATCAAAAGTAGCGAAAATACAGAAAGTGACTAATAAAAAAAAAAAAAAAAAAAAAAAAAAAAAAAAAAAAAAAAAAAATAAAAAAAAAAAAAACAGACAAAAAACAAAAAAAAAAGAAGAAGAAAAAATATGAATATATTTTTAAATTTTATCCATTTCCCATATTATTTTTTTTTTTTTTTTTTTTTTTTTTTTTTTTTTTTTTATTTATTCTTCATTTCTTAACCCGCATTTATGGAAAAAACTCTTTGTTTTATACGATTTCGAGTATTTTTTCATTCTGGGAAGCTACATTGTTTTAACCCTACTTTTGTGCATTTTTCATGTAATTATTTCACATTCTTTTACGAACCCTTTTCCCTTTTAAATTAATTAATTTGTATATTATCCAAGTATTGGTGAACTTTCCAATAGTTGCGCTACGCATTACGTACCACCCCACCCCCTGGAGGAACATGTTTTTATTTATTTTTTTTTTTTTTTTTACCCCATCATGCATATGTCCCCATGTTCAGGTAAAAAGGTTGCCTACGCAGGGAAATGCATTTAAAAATGTTTCATTTTAGAACACTTCAGTTTGGAATATTTCAGTTTAAAAAATTCATTTAAACGCCTTCAGTTTACCATCAAATTTGGGTCAGCCGGAGTGCAGAATGAAATGCAATAAATTAAAAAGTTTGTAAAGGTAGGTGTCGGGTGTGTGTGTAACATATAATACTTCGAAAAAAAAAAAAAATCCACATATATATATGTACATATTACTATTTACAAAATAAAAATTAAAAGGAAATTAAATAAGGGACACACAGATTTTTTGTGTTCATGCGGAAAAGAGGAGAGCACAGGTATAAATATTATGAACAAAAAAAAAAATATGAACACTGCAATAATGCACACACATGTGTGTCCATGTTGATATATCCACATCGACAATTCCATATGTGTATTTTCTCACGAAGTGTATGAATACGTACTTAAGTTTGAAAGTTCCCTAACGTGGAAATAAATACAAACTGGCAACAACATCAGAATAAGGGAGAAAGGGGAAAATATAAAGAATGAAATAAAAAAGTAGCTAACCAAAAAGCGTTAGCTAGCTATTTTTATTTCACTATTTTGCCTCTTCACTACCTCACTATTTTGCCTCTTCACTACCTCACTATTTTGCCTCTTCACTACCTCACTATTTTGCTGCTTCACTACCTCACTATTTTGCCGCTTCACTACCTCACTATTTTGCCGCTTCACTACTTCACTATTTTGCTGCTTCACTACCTCACTATTTTGCCTCTTCACTACCTCACTATTTTGCCGCTTCACTACCTCACTATTTTGCCGCTTCACTACCTCACTATTTTGCCGCTTCACTACCTCACTATTTTGCCGCTTCACTACCTCACTATTTTAATATTTTTATTTTATTTTTTTTTTTTTTGCGCCCACTTGGGCTACTCGTACATGGCCAAATGGTAGTCGTAGGACACCCAGTGCAGTTTGGTCCTGCACAAGTCATAATTTTTTTGTCCAATTTTTCCCAGAACGAATTCCAGCTGTTGCGGATTGATGTAATAAACAGTATCTCCATTTGCCACGGTTTTAAAAATTTCTTTCTCCTCCAAACACGAGATGATATCATTGGTCTCGATGCTTGTGATTTCGGAAAGCTCCTGAATGGATAACTGTTCATAATTTACTAAAACTTTCAGCAAAGTCTCATACCAGTAAGCCATGTAGGATGCCACTCCTAAATCAGACAAAGGTCTTTCAGGAGTTCCTGTGCGTTTCTCTGTTTGGGATAAAAAGTAACTAAAATTTATCAAGAATTTTCCATAACCCTTTTTCTGATGTTGTGGAAGTGTAAGAATACATGAGACATTATTTTTGGAATATTTTTCTTTTGAAAAATAACCTGTTATATGATATCCATATTGATCATATTCTGTTATAACATAAAATAAGAATAAATTAACTCTATGTTTTAAAGTTTTATGATCAAGAAATAGTTTGGAGAGAAAACATAAATTTTCACAATAAATTCGAAAATAATTTCCATCAATTTCAAAAATTGATATTTTTTCATTTCGATAAATTTCATTTCCTGGTGGATGTCTAATTTCGCACCTTTCTGTATGTCGAATTAATTCTCCATTTTCCTTAAAAAATGTTAAACAAAATTCACAAATGTATAAAATATCGATATTTTGGTATTCCTTTGGGTAAGGTGAAAAATACCATGTGTCAATTAAATATTTTCCAAATTTTATTTGATTTATTGTTTTTAATTTTGTATTTTCTTCATGTTCTCTTAAATATTCTTTATCAATCCCTGCATGCTCATCATTATCTGATTCTCCATTCTCCGTATCTCTTATGAACGGAAGCCCGTCATCTGGATCCTGGTCTAATGATCGTAATTTTTCATAAGCTAGCCAACAGTCTAATCGTCTATCAAATTTTTCCCAATGCACATAATAATCATAGTCACATTCTTTCATAGATGCATTACTTGCACTTAACTCATTAGATATCTTATTTATAATTTCATTTTTATTTATGCTTAATGGAAAAATAAAATTTAAGTCATTCAAATTCTTATTTTTTGGCCTTGCATAAACGATTGAGCAGTATCTCCATACCTTGTTTAAAGGGTCCAGCCCCCACATAACTTGTTTCACTGGTAATGCGTTTGGAAATATTAGTGCATAAGAATCGTTAATCTTGGAAAGAGAACTTAGTGCCTTCCCTGTACTTCTCGATTTGCTGTTTCCCCCCTTGGAATTTTTGCTGGTCATGGTATTACCCGTTGTGTTTGTGATGGTCGAGGTGGAAGTGGCCGAGTTCGCTGTGCTCACGGCTTTCGCTGCGTGGGTCTGACCTCGCTGATTCGTCGGGTTGGATTGATTCGTCAGACTAGACTGATTTATCACGTCGGATTGACTGATCAGACTAGACTGATTTATCACGTTGGACTGACTGATCAGACTGGATTGATTCGTCACGTTGGACTGACTGATCAGACTAGACTGATTTATCACGTTGGACTGACTGATCAGACTGGATTGATTCGTCACGTTGGACTGACTGATCACACTGGGTTGATTCGTCACGTTGGACTGACTGATCACACTGGGTTGATTCGTCATGTCGGATTGACTGATCAGACTAGACTGATTTATCACGTCGGATTGATTCGACGTATTCGCCAAGCTGGCAGTGCTTGAAAATTTCGTGGTGATGCAATTGCTCCCCATCCCACTACTTCCTCCACATGTAGCATTTCTATTTGCAGAAGATTTTTCTTTAGTTCTACAATTTCCGGATCCCTTTGTGGTTGACCTACTACCCCCTCGGCTTGTGCCTTTGCTTTCAGAAACAATGGTATTCGTTGTGCCACTTTCTTCTGCAGTGGTTGTTACAACTCCTGTTTCCAAAGTCATAGAGGAAGTTTTATCTGTCCCAATCCTAGCCTTACTACTTCCTCCCTTGGAACTCTTACTTATTCCTCCTCCTCCTCCTCCCTTATTCACTTGAGAATTTTCATTCTTGATTTCCCCCATTTTGTTCATTTGAATATATATGCTCCCCCAATCCCACCCAAAAAAAAAAAAAAAAAAAAAAAAAAAAAAAAAAAAAAACAGGAAAAAAAACAGGAAAAAAAAAAAAAAAATTATAATAAAAAAAACTGGGCCAAAGGGCTGATCATTTCTGTTTTTTTCCCCATCGAAAAAGGAAATAGTAATAATAAAGAAAAAAGGAAGATGCGCAGAAAATGGGACACGTTGCGATATTTTTTGCGTCCTCGGTAAGCGCGATTTGGGAGCCTTAATTTGCGTGAGTGTACTAATTACGTATGCATGCAATGAGTGTGTGTGTTGTATATAAAGGAGGTTTAATAATAAGTAGTTTTTTTTTGTTTTTTTTTTTAAAGCCATAAAAAACCTCCATTTTGCCTTTTTCCTTAGTTCACAGAATGGCATATTACCCACTTGACACCCTTTCTTGTCGCGCTATAACAGGGTAAGCATACGTGCATGCATAAATACATGCACGATTAAATGCATACACGCTTAAACACATTCACAAATAAATAAATACATACATATACACACACGTACAATATGTATTCGGGTTGGATATCAATACATTGAATTTTTCTCCGTTTTGGCCACTTTTAGAAAGCTTTCCTGAAATTGGATAAAAGGTACAATAACCCTGCACCATATGCAGCATAAACGGTTGAAGTCAGATCTGTTTTGCGAGTCCAACTCCAATTCACTTGGCCATTAGTACAAACCCCACTCCATCCCCTTTTCTATACTTTCTTCAGATGCTAGTAATACACACACACACACATATATGCGTAAATTAATACATACATACATGCCTATTTTATGGGTTTACAAGTTTTCACCTTGAATTCTATGCTTCTAGTTTGGAGTGTATTATATAACAACACTACACTTTCTTTACGCATGAAAAATATTTCAGGTACTCTACCCACCCACACACACTTGAATTTATTTCAACTACCGAGAAAAATTTCATCCCTCATAAGCCATTTTTACAACTTAGCCATTTATTTCACTTTAACAAAATTTTTACAATTTTGTTGTGTGTTCCTTGGATAACTATGGAGAATTGTGGTATATTTATGGCCACATTTGTATAGTATAAATTACAGCTTTTTTCTTTTTTCTAATCTTTTTTAAAGAAGATTTAATCAAAAGTTATTCTGCACTAGAAAGATGTTTAAAAAAAAAAAAAAATGACAAAGGTGTTCTCTCTCTCTCATTCTCACTCTCTCTATCTGTGTTTATGTTTTTACTTTATATTTTAGTGGACGAAAAAAAAAAAAAAAAAAAAAACCAATAAATAAGCAATAGGATAAGCAATAAATAATTCACCACCATATGAATGTTCACACTTGAGAAAAAGAAAGGAATAGAAGGTGTTTCATAAAACTGGAAGAGATGTAGAAGTGGAGGTAGGACTTTGCATAAATTATATTGCATACAAAGTAAACAAATTCAAACCTTGACAATTATCCTGTTTGAATTTGATTGATTATAATTTTTGAACACATATAAAAACAGGAGTGAAAAGTATGTATACACTTATAGATATTTTTTTTTCCTCGTTAAGGTGATTTCATATAAGGTGATAGTGGTGCTGCTGCTCCCGCTCCTGCTGGAATGTATTTTTTTTGTGTTACGTGTGCAGGTTGAAAAAAGGTTCTCTTATCTATTCCTGTATTCCATGGATCCATCTATCAAAAGATGCATAACAGAGAAAGAGAAAGAGAAAGAGAAAATATAAAAAATATTAAAATAAAATATAAAATACTAAAATAGAATATAAAATAATAAAATAAAAAATACTAAAATAAAAAATAAATTGAGCTTGTGCTAAGTTTGAAGTATATGGAAACATAAACGGAGATGATGTTATCCTCGTGTTGAACCATATTATTTTCCTGCATAGGTAGTATACCCTTTTTCAGATTATACCTTTTCAACAGATCAATGTAGGAGATGTTAGATTCCTTCATCGCGTTTATCTCTCTTAAAAAAAAAAAAAAGAAAATATATATATATATATATATATATATATGTATATATATATATGAAATTAATTTTTATACATGTCTAAAAAGGGGCTTCATATATATACTCATGTGCGTTTTCCAAGATGCTGTTTCAACTTCTTAGGCGCCCTCTATCACCATTTGGTGCGATTCGCCTTTCTTATTTATTTATCTATTTTTTTTTTTTTTTTCCTTCTTTTTTTTCATTTACCCTCGTAAGTAATCCATTTCTTCATCTGTTAGACTATCTCCAAACTGTCTTAATATTAGCAAAATTAATTCCTTGTGCATGTGTCCCGTTTTCTATTTTATTTTCCAAGAGGGAGAAAATGAATTTTGTATATGTGTGTGTACAATTGCAATGGTCGTATGAATGTGTATGAGAACACATGAACAAATGTGATGAAGTTTTTATTTTATTTTATTTTTTTTGCATGCAAAATATAAAATTCTAATAAATTATGAGACGCACACAAAAAAGATAAAACCTCTTACATGTCCAATGATTTGATTTTTTTTTTTTTTTTTTTTGGGAGGATCTCCATTGGACTCACCTTTACATCCCAAATTTCAAAGAAGGTTATCATATTTTGTAATGCTTCATCTTCATTTATAATAAGAGTTTTAATGAAGGTTACAAGATCTTCTTTGCTCACTTCTCCCATTCCCTTTAATTTATTTAGCTTGCTTTGTGTCAATGGTAAATTCTAGAAGTAGTAATAAAGTAATATGGAAATAAGAATCAATATTGAAAATGAACAAATGGGAATGAAACTTATCTGGTAGATAAACGTAAGGTTCTTGGGGGAACCTTACAATCAAGTTGGCCATCAATAACCATGAATAATCATAAATGGTTTTGCATTCCATGCTTGAACATGTGCAGGGATATGAAAACCCTTGGGTGTATCTACACTTAAATTGGCTATGTTCTCTATTACCGCTTTGTATATGACATCTACGCATTCCTGAAAACTTAACTTGTTGACCTGCACATGGGAGAATTTAGACATATTTGTTTATTCACCCGTAGGTTTATTTACTCATTAATTGGTTTTTTATCTCCAAAGGGGAAAAGTAGTGACTCTCTGATGGTACGGTTTTCCTTTCCTTTTCTTTTATATTTTTTTTTTTTTTTTTTTTTTTTTTTGTTTTTCCGCTCCTCCGCTTACATCTATTTTTTCTAGGATTCCATTCACTTGCTTTATTATTCTCCCTTCCATAGTTTCATCTACTGGATCTGGTCTTTCGACCTCTTGTTCCGCTTTTCGATCGGGCCCTTTTATTTCATTCTCCTGTTCCACCTCATTGGCTAGTTGTGTTTTTTCTTCTTCTTCTTGTTTCCTTTTTTTTTCTTTTTCCTTTTCCTCCTGTTCAACCTCATATTGGATGATTGATTCTTCTTCCTCAACAAGCCCCTGTTCCTTGTGCCCCCATTTACTTCCCTCATTTTTTCTAATTTCATTTATTTGCTTATTCAGATACTCTTGGTGCTTTTTCAACTCGTGTTTACTTAAACTATTCGACAGGAGAAGCTTGTTCCCAACATTTTCTATTTCCTTATTCTTATGTGTTGCTTTTCGCACAAGATCGTTGTACTGTGAAGACAAAACCCGTGTGTGTGGAAAACGAGATTCAGCAGGTGAGAAATGTCCAATGCAGCAGGTTTGATAAAAGCAATAAATTGGAAAAAAATAAATGGGAATAGTATGTGAATCAAAGTGAAGAGAAACTGCAAATGCGGGAAAAATGGAAAGAAATAGTAGGTGACGCAACGTATCCAACAAATTTTACTGCCTCTAATAGCTTAGCAGACCGAAAAGGCGAATCTATCTCCCTAACGGAATTCATTGGCTGGAACCACTTTTCCGTGCATACCTTTTTCTTGTTCTTGTCAAAGATCTCCTTGAAGTCATGTTTGTTATTACTATCTTCCTTCGAAATATACTTATCTACGTTTGTTATCACATGTCGGAAGTTTTCCAATGTCTATTTAGGGGGTTGCGAAACAGTTGTGGTGATGAAAAATGGGAATGGATCAAGACATTTTGTAAAGCTATATGTCCATTTGTACATTTTGCATAAATTAAAAAAAAAAAAAAAAAAAAAAAAAAAATGAGAAAAAGAATCGTGCGTGAATTACTACCTCTACAAGTAATGCGTTATTCTTCCTAAGGTGCTCTTTATAGCGTAAGGTCTCATTCATAACTTCTCTTTTCTCCTTTTTTTGATTTTCCAACTTGTCCAGCATTGTATCTAGGTCATCCTTCAAGCACTTTCGACAAAAAAAAAAAAAAAAAAAAAAAAAAAACATATATACATATATACATACACACACGCACATATGGTAAGCACGAAAGGTGTAGCTTTATTTTTCATTTCCTGATCGCTACATCGGTTCTGCAAATTCGAAAGCCCACTCAGTAACATGCGGGTGATAGCATAAAGGGACTTACATTGATTTGATGCTCACAGTAACATATATTCATCTCCAACTCTTGTATTTTCTTCCTGTAAATAAATTGTGCCAAAAGTATGAACATTTTTTTTTTTTTTTTTTTTATTAGAGGTGTTGTACGACATGCGTTGTTTGTGTGTATGTGTGTGTTCTTTCCTAATCAAAAACTATTGGACGTTAATGTATGCCATTTTAAATACACAAAGCAACGACAGTGACAATTCATTTTTTTTTTTTTTTTTTTTGTTCTTGCATTACGTATTCAATATGTCTGTTGCAATCGAAAGATCAGTTTGAGCTCTAGATGACTTTATGACATCCATCAATATGATCTTGTCTCCCTGAAATGTGGTGAGTTGGAATTCGTTTTATATTCGCTGTAGGAGATATATAGCAGTTTGTTTGGGAAAGACGGAAACATTGCCCTGCTTCCATTTTTTGCAGCTTTTTTGAAACTTGTCTACATAATCGTCTCATTACTCCTATTTTCTCGCAGCAGGAGACTATGCTTTCCAAGGCCATTTTATACTCAAGAAATGCGTGTTTCAGCTTTCTTAGTTTCATTTGTGCTTTTTTGCTAAGAGGGAGGAAAAAAAAAGAGAGGGGTAAAATAAACGCGTGCATGAAATTCATTGTCCTTACGCGTATGCACATATATATATATATATATATATATTATCATATCCATTTGTGTGTTTCGCGTCTTGTTCATGTTTTTACTTTTGCTCATAGTATGTGTGGCACATCTTCAGGAGCTGTTCGTTCTTCCTTTTATCAACCACTAGTTTATTTCTGCATATTTGGCTACAAAAACAGTGAAAGACAGAAGGAAGGGATGCATGGATAGATTGAAAGGAAAATATATTTATGCATACCTCGCCACGCATACACAAAGAGGAGGAAGAGGGCGAAGACGATTTTACAAAAGCGCGCACATGTTAAATTGTTTTCCTTCTCGTCTGTTTTTCATCCATTATAGTACTTACTTCCGTTCGACGACATTTTGTATAATGCCATTTTGAACATCAATTATGCTCTTTTTGGTTGCACTTTCATCTTGGTATTTCCTAACAACGTGAAGAATGTTTTGTATGTCTTCTTTGTTGTAAAATACTCCTGCCTGAAATAGAGTGTAAATAAAAGAATATGTTTCAACATATGTTGCGTGTATATGTATAACTTACGTGGGAGTATATACAGTTTCGATGGCAAACTAGAAAGCCACATCAAGGATATACGCAGATGATTAGATGCACTGATGAGGCACACACTTACAAATACACTGTTTGTGAAGAAACAAAACGGAAACAGATAAACAATTAGAAAAAAGCTAGGTTGAATGCAGGGAATGATAGTTACTTTAATTAGATCGAGATGTATCCTTGTATCCAATTTTTCCTTCAAATCGTCATATTTCTTTTTCAATGTTTCGAATTTCTGCTTGTATATTTTTTCCTCCTCTTTCCCTTCACTGCAATGGTGTGTAAAAAAAAAAAAAAAAAAAAAAAAATGGACTAAATAAATTGTAAATTTTTCAAAAAAAAGGGTTTTCAAAAATCAAATTTTCAACAGTAACAGGAATACAGATTTGTCTCGTTAGTTATCTTTTATATTCTCTCTTTTTCTTAAAGTGTCTTTGATCATTTTTTTGGATTTCATTTATACCTTCTTCTTGGTGACACATCCTTTAGAGTACATATCCCAAGTGATTCAACGATTTTTCCCAAATTTCTATTGTGCACCTTTTCTTTTAAAGTGTCCAAATAGTCAATGTTGTTTATAATTTCGTTAATTTTTTCAAATTCCTATAATTTGAAACAAAAAAAATAAGGTAGACAAAATAAAGCAAGAAAAAATAAAGCAAGACAAAATAAAGCAAGGCAAAATAATGTAAGACAAAATAATGTAAGACAAAATAATGTAAGACAAAATAATGTAAGACAAAATAATGTAAGACAAGATAATGTAAGACAAAATAAAGTAAAATAAAATATAAAAAAAAAAAAAAATCCTTTGTGAATATCGTTATGATACTTCTTCTATTTGGAATGATGATTCGGATGCATATTACATATTTCTTACGACTTATCATTCCAAATAAAAGAAGTACCATCACACACAAGCACAGTATAATATACTAACGTCAATTAAAAAAAAAAGTTCAGTATAAATAAAAGGACCTGTTTTTTTTTTGTATGTCGTATTTGTTTCCCCTCAGTAAATAAAACACATTCTCTATTAATCCTACAATTTTGTAATGTAAACAGTTATGAGTGCTGGGAGGAAGAGTGCTATATATGCACGTAATATAATATCATTTAAATATGCATATATAAGTTTGTTTTTTACTTATATGTATGTACATTCTTATATTGTGCTAAAATTGAGCTAACTCCCCTCCCCAATTGGAGGTAGGAAAGAAAAAAATACATGTTCGTTTTAGCATTCTTACAACTTATAGTTTATCGGTTGACTTCCTTTATCCTGATTATAAGTAAAACATAAGCAAATTTTAATCATAAGAAAAGTTTAATCATAAGAAAAGTTTATACATAAGAAAAGTTTAATCACAAGGATTATGTATATATATGTTCAAATGTGGAGGGCGTAGATGATAGCATATGTATATACATAGGTACACTCTCGACTGTGTACTATGTGTAGATATATTGCACACGCAAATGTTCATGTCTTTTCCTTTTTTTTTTTTTTTTTTTTTTTTTGTTTGTTTGATTCCTGGTTTTTATTTACCAATAAAAGCAACGCCTCTGTGCGAAGGTCGTCATAGAAGGAGACATTGTTTTTTCTGAAAAGAGAACTAAATGGGTTTTTATGACTATTCTCATCGTAACTCAATGGGTTTCTATCACCATCACCATCGTGATTAAATGGGTTTGTTTTTTTTGTATGTAAAAGTTTGGTGGCACTCCCTATTAATATTTCCATCTTTTTCTCTTTACACGTAGTGGTGTATATATATGCATGTATGAGTATACTTATGAGTATACTTATGCGTATATGTGCATTTATGTGTTTTTTTTTTTTTTTTTTTTTTTTTTTTTTTTTTTTTTTTGTTTTTTTTTTTTTTTTTTTTTTTTAATATTTTTTACAAACCACAATTTTTTTTAATTAATCTTTTTGTTTGCTTTTTTTTTTTTTTTATTTTAAATTTTTTTTGATTTTTTTATTTATTTTTTGTTTTTTTTTTTTTTTCTTTTTTTTTTTTTTTTTTTTTTTTTTTTTTTTTTTTTTTTTTTTTTTTTTTTGTTTTTTTTTTTTTTTTTTTTTTTTTTTTTTTTTTTTTTTTTTTTTTTCTCTGTTTTTTGCGTGTTTTTTTATGCTTTCTTTTTTTCAATCACTTTTTACAAACCACAATTTTATAGAATAAACTTGTCGAATGAACAAGACAACTTTTGCAACATTTGTGTAACAGACTGGTATGTTTGCAATTTGGTGAAAAAATACCAGCAACACAAATTAACACTTAAAAATTAAATATAAGATAAAGAAAAAAAAAAAAAAAAATCAGTGCAATATATTACTTCTTCTCCGTTGCACATATTTACTTTCTGTATGAAGTGACAACAAAAGCGGAAAAAATAAAATAATGAATATTTCTAAAGCGTTGTCTGTAAAAAGATGATGGGTGAGTAATTATTATGCTTGTGCATTTTTTTTTTTTTTTTTTTTTGCATTGTTTGCATTCTATTTGCATTATATTTTCTTTTTTTTTGTTGCCAAGGGGGGCAATGATGCGATGAATTTTTTTTATACTTTTCCAATTCGTCTTCATGCAACTTCGTGTATTATGCAAATAACTGGGTGAATGTTAGATGATCTTTTTTTTTTTTTTTTTTTTTTTTTTATTAACTACACCATTCGTTATGATTGTTCTGCTGACCATTTGAGTGTATGTCCTCAGGTGTGGTTATGAAGTTGTATGCTGAAGTTCTGTTTTTATTATTTTTCTTACCGTTGTTTACTTTGGGTATTGTTAGGAGTTTTGATGTAAACTCTGCATTTTTCTTCTGAGTTTTACTGCATACATTTTGTTTTCCCCTTTTGTGTGTGCATACAATTTTTTCTTTCCCTATTTGATCTGTTTCATAAAAAGCAAAAGAAAAAAAAAAAAATGGTACTTCCTCCTAGCTCTCACAACAACATAATATCTTCGTATTCTGCAGATTATAAGAGAGACGATTAAGTATATGAAATAAACTTTTCAAACGCTTTTGTATACTTTTCCGTTATCCCTACATTTGTTCTGTTTTCTTTACTGTCCGTCGTAGATATTTTAAAAATAGTTATTTTGTCAAAACATAATTTTTTTTTTTTTTTACATTTGTGTGTGTGTGCAAAGAAAAAAAAGGTGTGTTTTATAAATTGTTCATATTTTTTTTTTTTTTGCACTTGTGTGTGTGCAAAGAACAAAAGGACATATCTTATGAATTGTTCATATATTTTTTTTTTTTTTTTTTTACATTTTTGCGTGTGCAAAGAACAAAATGGTGTATCTTATGAATTGTTCATATATTTTTTTTTTCTTTTAGCTAGTCAAAATTGTCACAAGGCTAAACACCAAAAAACGACATTGAAATCGCTAGACACTGTCACAAACGTAATGTATTTTCCACTTTCATGCGGTTCTAACATGGATATTTGTAATATATTATTCGAATGTGCAACTATTTCTCCAATTATTTCATTTCCATTCATATATTTGCATTCTTCTTCTATATCTTGAATAGTTTTTTTGTCGTAGAAAAAATCGACACTTAAATTTTTAATTGAGAATTGCGGTAGAACGACCTTTGATATTGTCCATTCTCCATTTATGCTTTCTATAAGGATTGGAAATATCTCGTAGCCGTACTGAAAAGTGGGAAAAATATAAAATAGATGGGGTTATTACCATTTCGTTTTTGTTTCATCAAAATGTGAACGCTTAGATCAGGGAGGAAAGAGCACTATGATTAGATAGACACATTGTCGTAAGGGAGGTATGTTGTGCAAAATGTATCCCCCATGTCTATATGTGCTCATGCCCATTGTTTGGATATAGACATGCAAAATGCTGCAGTTGTCGTACAACTAATAGTCTGTTCTCGTCAAGAAACAAACACTTCTGCATCGTTTGGCCAATCCAGGACAGGAACTGAGTGTTGGGTGGGGACTCAAAGTAGTCGGAAATTATTATTTGCTGATTTTCACAACTATTTTCAAAATTGCTAGCTACAAAAATGGAGAAAAAAATAAAGTAAAAAAAAAAAAAAAAAAAAATAATATAAAATAAAATAAAAATAATAAAGAGCAGTACGTTTTTATTTCAAAACTGTGCATACACATTTGTTACGAAAAATAATCCATACTTATTACGGCTATTCTTTCATTCGATGAGGAAAAGGAACTATGAAAAATGATGTGTCCTTCGCATTCAATCTGTCCTAAGTGCAATGCAATAAGATATTGTCGAAATATGTGTGCAAAATGGATGGAGGAAAAAAAAAAAAAAAAAAAAAAAAAAAAAAACTTTCCATTACCTTACTGATTACATCATTGTTGTTTAAATTCCTGTCTGCTATAACTTTGTCAATGTTGGAATACGTTCTGAGTGGGTGAAGTGCCCATAAATGGCAGCATTTGTGTGGGTACATGAATATGTATATGTGTGATGCATGTAAACAAATACACAAAAAATCCACACATGCACATTTACAATTCCCCCTCGAATTCGTGTAAAAAATATATATGTATACTTTGATGGAAAAATAAATGTACCTGAATTTTTCTTCATTTTTAGGTCCATCATGTAGCAAATCCGAGGTGCACACCAGCACAACGGTTGAATCCATCGAGCAGCTACACAATACATGGCCTTCGAAAAATAAATAAATAATATAATGTATGATAAAAGAAAATAAAGGGAAAATATTCGAAGCAACTTGATTTTTTTATCATGGTCTTTTGAATAGTGAAAAGTGGAATGAGTGAAAGGTAACCCCCCACCCAACCACACACACACACATGTTACACTTGTTGTAACTTATACCTGAATAACACCACTGTAAAAATAAAATACTACCAGAATGATTTATCAGTTTTTCTATTGTCCATTTTTGATTCTCACTTTTTGAACAAATTAATATAACCCCTGATGAAAAGCCAATGGCAAAATAGTAGGAATGCGGATGCCAAGAAACACATGTAGGTGTTAGATCCTCATTGGGAATATTAACATGACTGTTTTCCCATTTTCCGTTTTTTCCATTTTTATATATGACACATTTCATGTCAATGGTCAATATGAGTAAATCGTTTTGGTTTGACCATTCAAGAGCGATAATTTTGTTCCTATTCTGCAATGGGGGTAAGGGGTGTGTATACATTGATGTACATGTGGATGGATGTATACATGGGTGAACGTACATATGGATGTATACATGGGTGAACGTACATATGGATGGATGTATACATTGCTGAACGTACATATGGATGGATGTATAAATTGCTGAACGTACATGTGGAAGGATGTATGCAGAAATGTACGTTTACATATGTCACCTCCTCCATTAATGTACGCCCACGCGATGGCTTGGCAAATTTGCGAAAAAGAATGACTGAGGAAGATAGTACTAAGGCGGCATTTTTCATTTTTAACAATGTCAAGACATTTTCTTATGAATGGAACAACTCACCCCTATGCATATTGTGTCACAGCGCGAGAATCCTGAATTTTTTATTTTATATATATGTACATATTTTTTATTCTCCACAGCAGCTACTAGTGTATTCTCCTTATTTCGTGAAATGCTTATGGGAGGTTCAGAGTTTTCGTCCGGAATCGCATATTTAATACAATCACATTTTAAATAATCTATCATTATATGATCGTTGTTTGTTGTTTCATTTTATTGTTTGATGTGCTGATATGAATGATGTGTATATTCCAGTACAGTTTTTCCTTTACCTGGTTGTTATGTCATTTATTGTCCTTTCTTTCTTTCTTTCTTTCTTTCTTTCTTTCTTTTTTTTTTTTTTTTATACTATTGACCACGTCAACGGATGTATGTACATGTGTGGATAATTAAATCATGAACAAAAATAATTAAAATCATAAAAAAAAAATTCTACAAAGGTTGAGATATTCTGGGGTAATATATATATATATATATATATATATATATATATATATATGTGACAGTTGTGTGTATATAATGTGTACGTATCGTTATGACAGTGTACACATTTTATGGACCATTTTTTTTTTTTTTTTTCTCCATCCAGGGGACTTGAAAAATTATGAGAGTTTGAAAATCCATCCCTGAGTGAAGTAAATGTAAAACAGAACGTAAGGAATAATTCACCAGCTAGATAAAAAAAAAAAAAAAAACACCTTTTTTTGCTGTGGGTTTCTTTTTCATTCAATCCCATATTTACACCTGGAAAAAAAAAAAAAAAAAAAAAAAAAAAAAAAAAAGACAAATTTGCACAAGCCTCACCGCAAGTTTTTTTCTTATAATATTGATACGCCTATGTTTGCTCCTTCCCCGTCTGTGGGGAAAAAGATAAGGAAAAGAAAAAAAAGATACATATATGTTTACATATATATATGTATATATACATACCTATATGCATATACATAGGCACGTGGGTAGATAAAATAAAAATACATGCACAGAGATAGGGACATGTGCACGTATGTTTTACTACACACCTTCGCATGCACACACACAAGATGAACATATTAGCCTTTGGCACAATTGTCCTCCTAGTAGTACTCCTAGTGCTACTCCATGAAAATTTCGTAAAGGCTGACTATGACATAAAAACGAAAAAATTAATGTTCCTTTCTGAAACGGCGCAATGCAAGAGGGAAATTAGCTTTTATGAAAAAAACAATTCATTCTTCATAGGAAATAATGATAACATATATTTGGAAGCACGAAATAAGAAAACAACTATAAACAGTTTAAATGTGTATGGCACTGTACACACAAATGAGTATTCAGCTTTTCAAAAGGAGAAACAGTGGACGTTGTACCATCTAGATACATTCGACAAGAAAGAAAACTCATGGACACCCTCGGTACTATCTAATCTAATACTCATAAAATTTCTGCTCCATTTGGTGTATTGACAGGAAATAAACCCGTCTACCCACGTAGTGCATCAAACTGAGAGAAAATAAAAAAGGGTTAACTTGAAGGCCTTTACCATGTGATGTGGTGTTATTTCGTTTATGAAATTATTATATTCTCCGTTTCTTCTTATCTTTTTTCGAACTTGTTAACTATGTAAACAATGAAATTTCCCTTTTTTTAAAAAAAAAAAAAAAAGGACATCAGCGCGTGTGGGAATTCTCCTGACACGTTTCTTGGAGGTCCATGGTACAGATATATATGAAAAAAAAAAAAAAAAAAAAAAAAAAAAAAAAAACAAAAATATATAAAAAAAAAAAAAAAAAAAAAAAAAAAAAAAAAAAACCACAAAGTTATACAAACAAGTTAAGAAAGGGGGACAAAGAAATACCTGAACAAAATGTTCAGAACAAAATTGAAAATAATACCCAAACTTCTCCACCCTCCTCTTTTTTTTTTTTTTTTTTTTTTTTTTTTTTACAGCATATTCGGTGCTGTCGAGGCCTATACAACAATTAAAGACATACCAAAGCATAATGAATTGAAAATTAAATTAAGAGTTCATTTTTTCGACGCATGGGAGGGAAATTCGTTATTTTTGCAAGCTGATAAGAAAATTCTTTGGACAGGTAAGTATGACGAATAAAACGACAAGTGTCCTTTTAGAAATAGCTGAGTGGATATACAACGAGGACATGCAAACATCGAATCAGAATGATATAACCATCAACAGAATAAAACAAAAAAAAAAAAAAAAAAAAAATATTTCTTCCACATTATCATCCACTCAGAAGCGTACAATTCTATCCATACGGAAAAGGTATGAACATTTCATTATGGCAAATATAGGTTTACCCTTGAAAAATTCTGCGACAGGTGAAAAAAATAAAATAAAGCAAAATAAAATAACGTTTTCCTCACCTGTTTTTTTTTTTTTTTCCTCTTCACCCCCTTCGTAGGGCATTGGTGATGGGATAAACCTTTGTGGGAAGGAAACTTCCGATCGACTTTCAGTTAGTACAAAATAAAAAACAAAAAAAGATGAAAAGATGAAACAATGAAACGATGAAAAAGTAAATGGTGAATAAAACCATGTTGTGCATTTGAATTTGTGTATACCGGTCAGATTCTTCCGCTTCACAATGTAGACAAATAGTAAAATAGATGAAGGGATGTGTACACCCGTTTCTAATTACCCAACTTGCCCCACCTTAACACATTTTTAATTTTTATTTTATTTTATTTTAATTTTTTTTTTTTTTTTTTTTTTTTCCCTTAAAAACAATTTCAGGTCCCTGTGGACGTCGAATTTCAGCACTCTTCAGGTGAATAACGATGATGAAAATGTTTCCCCTTTATTAGACATTTTTTTCATCTCATACACGTATTAAGTGCATGGCTCAGATTAAATAGATGTATATATATATAAATCATACACCGTTTTGGGGTTCTGACCCATCCTTAACATATGGCAGACACTGTTAGTATACTGATAGGAAGCACTTTAAAAAAAAAGAACGACGCATGCATAACATCTTGGGGAATAGACGACTTGTTTGTATATTACAAATAGTGTTAATGAAGCTACATACTGTTCTTTTCTTTTTTTTCTCCATATGAACAATTTTAGTGAGTAAAAAAACAGGGCATCATGCATGTAGAACACGCGTCACCATAATGTATCTTTGTGTAAATGTATCTGGGTGTGTGTACAAACATATATATATATATACATATATACATACAGACATGCATGTATGTAGGCATGCAACTCATGCGCTTGGAATAGACATGGATAGATACACATCTTGTATGTCCCCCTCGATGGGTCGTCTGGGAAAAAATTAATATAACGCCATTTCCTGACTAAGTATAGAGCTGAATGTCAACCCGTCTGAATTTTTCTTATTTATATCTGCACCTGCGTTTTTTAAATAATTAATAATATCCGTTTTCCCCGAATAAGCGGCAATATGCAGTGCAGTATCTCCACATGAATCATCTGCATTAAGGTCTGCCCCGAGATCTACTAACAGCTTGACAATGTCTAAGTATCCCCTATCACATGCATAATGCAAGGCACATAGCCCATCTGAATTTCTTTTGTTTATTAAATGTGGATTCTTTTTTAGTGCACCTTTTATGTATTCTAGATTTTCCTGTACGACATTTCTGCACAAGAGATCAATAAGATTGTTAAGGCTACTCTCGTCATACGGATTCCCCTCATCATGCCTCTGACCATTGTTGTGTGTTGAGTTATCTATCATTCCACCTCCAGTAAAAATATCCGTAAGTGGTTTCATCTTACTCATAGTCTTGGTAAATTCAAATGAGGAATTTGTAATCTCATTTTCTAAAGCATGGGGAAATAATTTCTCGACAAATTCTACATACAGAAATTTACACACTTTTTTACTAACCCCATAGCAGTTTTTCCATGCGTTCATTTTTTCATCCATTAAATACTGATGGTTTTCTGTTTTGTTCGATATTATTGTCTGTTTTGCTTCATTCAATTCTGTATTGAGGTACTTGCCAGAATTATTTGTATCTAACATGATATTTCCAGAGGTTATCTGTTTGTATAATCCATATAAATACAGCCACTGTTCAAAATTCAGTTGATTTTTATACATCTTAACTGCATTACATAATTTAGTGAACTTTTCATCCAACTCCTCGTCACTTAAATTTATGGTTATGTTTTTGTCTATTATTGGTAATTTTATTATTTTTTTCCCCCTACATTTTTGGATAATTAACTGAGGTACCTTAAGTAACAATTTTGTTACTTCATTGATTTTGTGTAATATTTTATTAGTCTGATCTGGATTATACCTTTTTAGCACGTACACAAGAATACACACAGAAGCAACATTTGCAATCAATATTGTTTTTCCGTTCAAATTTATGGACATGGTTTGCGTTGTGATGGGTGGATGTAGATGTGTTTGTGTCTGTGTGTGTGGGGGTGGGTGGACATTCAGATGTATATCTATGTGCACGTAGGGCGGAGGTGCTTTCCCCTGTGTGGTTCTTATCTGCTTGTCTGCTCATCTGCTTGTCTGCTCATCTGCTTGTTTGTTCATCTGCTTGTCTGCTTACCTTCTAAACGTTTCTATCGTTTCGTGTGCATAGACAGGTGTAAAAATTTACGGTCGAAGAGGTGAGGGTTTTCCTCAAGCGACGTCATTCAACAAGGAATGCTGGAGAAGTATGATAACCCACATGTTCTAACATGCATATTAGTCATGTATATATATATATATATATATATATATATATTCATGCCTCGTTCTGTGTATTCACTTACTGCCGATAAGTACAATAGACCACTAATACACATGTGTTTTACGGTGGATATTTGAAATTGTTCACTAGGGGGAAAATGGGGTAAAATACAAGAATTACATTGAAAAATAGTTTCCTCCTTCTTCTTATATACTTTTTTCTTTTCATATGCAAAATGGTATACCCCTTACTGTAACAAGATTTAAAAAAATTTGGAGATATCATTAAGCTATTTTTTTTTTTTTTTTTTTTGCAGGAATTTTTGGCAGGGATAATTTTATTTTATTTATTTATTTATTTTTTTTTTTTTTTTCCCACAAAACGGGTATATTATTCCTTGTAAACATGATTACATAATCGCATTTATACATGTTTATAGATTTTTATAGGAACTCATATATAATATGGTTCCGTTTGGAATATAATGTAAGCCACCTTTTTGAAGGTCTCTTTTTTTTTTTTTTTTTTTTTTTTTTTTTTTTTCTTTCTGTGTGTATGTCTGTTGCATTTGAAATATATATTCCCTTTTTAACAAATTATTTTTTTGTTGTTTTTTTTAACCCGTTTATGTAAGTTTTTGTTTTGAGGAATAAGCAAAAATTAATCTGTTTATGCTGACTACGCAGAGTGCCTCACTCTGTTTGTTTTTCCTTGTTTTGCTGTTCTTTTTTCTTTCTTTTTTTCTTTCTTTTTTTCTTTCTTTTTTTCTTTCTTTTTTCCTGCTTTTGATGGACTGAAAGCACATTTTAGCTGAACAAACATTTTTGAATTTCAAGAATGCAAAAGTGCTTTAAAATGCATGGGGAGTCAACAGAATTCTACCACCATATACGTCTTAAAAATAAGGAACATGGAGTATTTAACTTTTTAGATTTCCAAGCGATATGATGTATGTGTTTCTCTTATTTGTGACATATTTTCTGCTTTTTTGTGAAATTGTATATCAACACAATACTCCACATGTATATGCATATATGACTATATATATATATATGTGCTTAGTCTGTGTGGAGAAAAAGAAGCAAACATTTCGCTCTTAGTTTCTTTTTTTTTCTATCATACGATGTTGCAAATTTGTCGAAACTGTTTTTTTTTTTTTTCCTTTTTTTAATGCCCCGTTGTTTAGGATCTTGTTCTATGCAAACATCTCATCAAAAATAAGAAGAAATTTATTATTTAACTATTAACACACCAATGTGATAATTTCATTTTTAATATGAACAGATTTTATAACACAATCCTCTCCCCCCTCGCATATTTTTTTGTAGCCCTTGTTTTCGTTGAAGGGTAGACCAATTGGGGGAGTATTATTTATTAACATTGAGAGAGAGAGAAAAAAAAAAAAAAAAAAAAAAAAACGTACAAATATAATTTGCAAGTTTTAGCACAAAGATCTCTACCCCTAACTCTACCTCTACCGCTATCTTTATCTCTTTGTTCTGAGCTTTTTTTTTTTTTTTTTTTTTTTGTTTGTTTTTACTCCTTTTCATCTATCTCATTTGACTCTTTTTGGAATTTTTACTTGATCGAATTTTAAATATGCACACATCTATGTGATTGTATACGTTCACACATTGAGTTAACGTTGGAACGACAAAATATCTATTGCTTTGAAGATGCCATTTGAAAGCACAAGATTCAATGACATTTGTATCGAAAAATACAGCGAATTTTAGTATAAAAAGGAGGAAGAAGAAGAAGAAGAAGAGAGCGATAGGGAGAGACAGGAGGAGAAGGAGATGATGTCGTAAACCAAAAGAAAAGGCTCCTCAAAAGAAAACTCAAGCGAGGAATTCACAAAACAAGCCTCAAAGGGAAACTGCAAACGAGAAGGCTAGCGAAATCGAAATCGAAATTGAAAGAATAACATTGCATCTGCCATAGAAGCAAAGAAGAGCACTGTGGTAATGACACCACTTCAAAAGCGGTAAGGCAGTAAAGCAGCAATAACAAGAAGAAAAAAACAAGACAAAAACAAGACAAAAAAAAAAAAAAAAAGGAAGAAAAAAGACGTGGGAAAAATGCGTAACGTCACAAACGCAGATGAATATTCGAAGGAAGAGGGGAAAGGGCACCCAATTGATGATCCAGAGGAAAGGAATGACGAAGAGTTTGATTTTTTTGCAAACCTCACAAACGTTATAGACCAGGAGGACATAGACAAAGGAATAAGAAAAAAGAAAAAAAAAACAAAGAAAGAAAAGAAAAAAGAAAAAAGAGAATACCTAAGGGAAAAGCGAAAAAGGAATAGACCCGAAGAAAAAAAGAAAAGGAAAGAAAAAAAAAAAAAGGATTTGTTAAAAATACTTAATGCTTTAAGCGAAAATGAAAAAATACATTTTTTAAATGAAAGGAAAAAATTACAGCAAATTAAGAAAAAAAAAAAAGAACAATTCATACTAAATTCATATAATGAAGGATATAAAATTTGCTATAACTGTAGCTTTTTAAATCTCATGGGAGAAAAAGAAATTTCAAGCTTGGCTAAGCAAGTGTTTCTTTCCTATCACTATATGATTAAGGAACAAGTTCCTATACAATTTCATTTTACAAACTTTACGAGTAACAACGAATTCTATACACAACTGAAGGATAAATATTCGTTACAAAAGTGGAAAGTCCATGTTCATTCTGAAAACTATTGGGATATCTTTCAAAGAGAAAAGATTGTTGTGCTATCCCCAGATGCTGAAGAGGCAAGTGCATAAGGACCAATCGTTACTTTTTTTTTTTTAAATTCCTACCTTTACTAGTTTGCTCTGGAGTTTATATTGTGCATATTGTTAATGGAAAAAAAAAAAAAAAAAAAAAATTCTCCTATAAAGATTGACACTATGTATGTTTGCACTATGAGAAGATGTTATTCCAGTTTCTCTTTTTCAATAGAAATGATTTTTTTTTTTTTTTTTTTTTTTTGCTCTTTTTTCAACAGGAATTGATAGAAGTTCGGGACGATGAGGTGTATATCATTTCTGCCTTAGTCGATCGGAGCGTTTCTAAAGTGAGTTCTGCTGAAAAGGAATGGCTAACTTGCATAGACAGATGATACACTGGTGTGAGCAGCTTTTCATGTGTATGTGGAACATCTACACGTATGAAGTATACCAACACATTTGACTCTTTTTTTTTCTTTTTTTCCATTCCGTAGAATTTATCTTTTCATCAAGCATCTCTGCACAACTTAGTGACGAAGAGGTTACCCCTGGAGGTAAATTATTTAAAAAAAAAAAAATTATTTGAATGAATGAACTTAATGAAACATCTTCACCAAAGTTGTACTCCTTGCATATTTCTTTCCATCCCCAGCCCAGCGATAAGCATAGAAACATTTTGTGTAGCTATATCCACATTTCGTATGTTCCATGTCTCACTTAATATTTTTCACCTTTTATACCACTTTTCTTTCATACACATTTGGTGTTCACCCTTTTTCACCACCATATATTACAGAAATATTTAAAAAAAAAAAAAAGCAATGTGCTCAATGTAAACACAGTTGTTGAAATATTGATTAATTTTTTAAAAAGCAAAAATTGGATGACGGTTTTTGAGAAATGTATGCCACAAAAGAAGGTTCTTTATTTCTGTTATGGTGAAGCGGACGGTGAAGGGAACGACCAAGAAGATGTCAAAGCGGATGACAAAGAGGGAGACCATTCTAACGATGGAGGAACAAATGCAGAAGGACTTGGTTCAGATGAGAATGAAAAAAGAGATGTTCATCCGGATCCTTTGTGAAAATAAAAGGATAGGTAAAAAAAAAAAAAAAAAAAAAAAAATATGAAGAAAAGATATGACAAAAAAATATGAAGAAAAGATATGACAAAAAAATATGAAGAAAAAATATGACAAAAAAATATGAAGAAAAAATATGAAGAAAAAATATGACAAAAAAATATGAAGAAAAAATATGAAGAAAAAACAAGAAAAAAATTCTTATTTTATAAGGATATTGTATGTTTAAAACAAAAAAAAAAAAATTCCCTTATTATATAAATGTTGTATGTTTAAAGGAAATAAAATCGACGATGCAGCATGGCTACATGTATGTGCACGGCAATAACCACACACACGTACCGCTAGCTATTTGTGATTTGGGTTTTTTATTGGTTTTTTTTTTTAATTTTTTTTTCTTTTTTCTTCATATTTTTATCATGTTACGTTATATGATTTTCTCCCAATGTATACAATTTCTCTTATCATTGAAGATCTAGAAGCAACAGTTACATTCGAATGGGCATTCCTTCGTATATCCTCCTTGGCCTGCGGGAAAAAATGGACATTGTGACAAAGCATCAGTGAAGAAGCAAAACTGAAGATGCAACACTGAAGAAGCAACGAAGGGTAGAGCGATATTAAGAATAACATCCTCCCTCAAACGTGAACACTTACCCATCTTGAGCTCCTCCATAGAATAAATGGGCAACCCATCGGGTGTACATGCCCGTTTGTCTACACCCACCTTGGGGTTACGTTTTTTTGCCATTTTCTGAGCTTGACGAACGTGGTCATATTTTTCAGAATTTTTTTTAATTTGTTTTGTTCCATTAACTGTTATAGGCTTCTTCTCCTTGACCTTTAGGTTGCTAAAAATATCTTCGATATTTGACTTTGCCGCTAGCTCTTTTTCTCTCATGGTATCGTTCTGGTGTCTCCTTGCACTTATACCACTCGAACCATGCTTCTTATCTATTTTCTTTTTAACATTCTGTGAATTTTTAAAATTTTTGTTTACTTCTCCCCTCTTTTTATGTGGAGATGAGGCAAGAACCTTCCTCTCCTTCAAGCTTTCATTATTATCACCCATTTGACGTAAATAAATTTTATTTTATTTATTTTATTTTATTTTATTTTTTTTTCTTTTTAAATATTATGATGCAGCATTCGTTATAAATTTATATCCAATTACAACACTTCAGCATTGTTAAGGAGGGAAATTTATTTCAAAGTTTGTTTTAATTTGCTTTTTTTGACGTTGCGCTAACTTTCTGGATATATATTTTATTTTTTCCTATTTTTTTTTTTTTTTTTTTTTACTTTTACCCCTCTTACGAACGCAACACACGTGCCTAAAAGCGTACCTATCCGCAATGCATACATTTCCTTTATTTAAGTTTGCTTTATTTCTTTTTGCTATTTAATTTTGCTTTATTTATTTATATATCTATTTTTTTATTTTTTTTATTTTTCATCATTTCATTTTCTTCCCTTTTGCACTCGTTTTTTTGCATATAAATAAAGATTGCCATGCAAAAGCGTAATAATGTTGTCGCTTTCATTCCATTCGCATACACCTTTCTCTCATAATGTGATAGGTGGAAAATTACTCTGAACCTAATCAGCACTCTACCACTTTGGCTTACCCCACAAAGGAATTATTTTATTACTTCATTATTTGGTTGTTTTACTGCATTACTTCATCATTTTACCGCTTCATTATTTCATTATATTATTTCTCTTTTCTTGCATTTAATTCAAGTTAAAATATTATTTTTATTTTATTTTTTTTTTTGGAGGGATTAATACCTACACGATCTCTCCCTTTTTCACTATTTTTTAATTGTAAAAATGTATATGCTGAACTTTGGAGAACTTAAATAATTTGGATTTAGAAGAAAAAAAAAAAAATATAAGAACGTCCGTCAAATGGATTGGGAAAAGATAAAATATATAAAATATAACGTAAGGACAAATCTTCCATTTGTGGTGTGCGCGATGGAACAGGTTTTGCGGAAATGAAAAGTAAAAACATAGAAGTTCCCATACGTTTGTATTATTTATGAAACATCAGTTCGTACATGTGGAGAAATGATAACCTATATATATATATATATATATATATATATATATATATATATATATATATATATATATATAAGAGATATGAGATAAGAGAAGTCTGTGTAAATGATAATAAAAATGTTAATAGGGCTGAAAAGAGCAATGTGTGAAGGGGTTAAAATACCTACCAAATATTCACACGCGAATAATACATATATAAACACACGGGGGAAAAACTTGCACAACTTTTTTTTTTTTTTTTTTTTTTTTTTCTTTTTATATTCACTTTTCTTTATACAAAAGCTTTTGTATCACTAAATAAAAAAACATATTCACATTTTAACCCGTTTTGCATAAAGGAAGTATTAAAAAGGAATAAAATAATTTTTAAAATTAAAAAACAAACTAAATATATACTATGGAGTTCCTTAAAATAATTTGTCTTAAAATAAACACACACATATACAAAAAAAAAAAAAAAAAAAAAAAAAAATTGTTCATATTCAAATGCACTTTTGTTATGTTATTTATTTTTACTTACAACAGGATATTTTTTCTAATACTCTATTCCTATTTTTTCTTTCACATGTTCTTAAACATTTTTGTGCATGTATAAACTTATAATTTCTCTACAAAAAAAGTTACAGGTGTAGGTGAGGGGTAGGTTAAAGTTCTTATCATTAGTTACCTTTGATCATCCCCTGCTGATTATGTTCCGATCTCTCCCCCCCCCACCACCCCCCTCCTGTGCATTTTCATCTATCTCTTCTTGTGCCTGTTTTTGGTCTTTAGTACCTTGTTCATTCCCTTTTTGCATATTCTTCATCTCTCTTTCTTTATTCCATCTCTCAATTTTTTCCCTTCGTTCAGCACTATTTTCTCGTCTTGGATGTTTATGTCGTCTATTCGAACCATCACCGTCACCACTATCCCCATCAGCATCATCATAATTTCTACTATGACTTCTGGTTCTGTTCCTGCGTCTAGAGGAGTGATGACTATCCGAATATTTATCTCTTCTGTGTTTATCTTTACTACTTTTATCTCTGTGACTATCATGGTTTCTGTCTTCTGAACCGTCTTTCGTTTTTTTCCTTTTCTTATACTCTGGGAATTTTTTATACATTCGTTTGTATAACTTCCTTTTAACAGCTCTTGGAACATGCTTGATATGCATAAAATTGCAATAACCACCACGTCGACATTGTCCATCAACAAATTGTCTACACCTAGCTTCTCTAAAATCTGTTACAGGTGTATATTCAATTTGTAAGGGTCTACCTGCATAAAATCTTCCATTTAATTCTTTAACAGCTTTCTCAGCATAATCTTCATGTGTGTATTTTATATACACATTTCCTATAATATGATCCCCTATATTATCACATACAACCATATCTTCAATTTCCCCATATTTCATTAATTCTTCAAAAACTTCTTCATAAAATTCTTCAAAATGATCTGCTGCTTTGTCAAGAACTTCATCTTCCACCATCTGCCCCTCTGCAATTGCAACAGCCATTGGTGGGTTATCATACATATGACGTATGACTAAAGTTTGAGCACTGTTTGGCTTGTAATGACTTCGACTACATTGGTCACCATGTCGACAAGCTCCTATTTTCCAAAAAAAGGGACAATTAACTCTGTCCTCTTCTGTTCCTATTATTCTTGCTAGATGCTCAGCCATTTTTGTAGATTACTATAATGGGGCGTGCATACAATATATAACATATACAAGGCACATTCGTTTACATTTAAATGTGTAAGTTATTTTGGCTAGCTTGGGAAAAAAAAAAAAAAAAAAAAAAAACTAGCTGTTCATATGCATTTACAAGTTTAAATCTTCGAATTTACCTGCACAGTTTGAAAAAAAAAAAAGAAAAAATTATTGCATGATCAGGCGAAAAATGTAATAATGCACACAAAGGAGTCTATACATTTTTTTGCAAGGTTGTATTTTTGCACAAAAAATTGTAATAAGCACATATGTTTATGGACGCGTGGGTCACGTGGTCAGGTGTATGTTTCGTTAGAGGTAAAAGTTGTAGCCCCCTTTATATATTTAAGTAATAAGCAACTATTTTAATTCTTACATTATGTGATAGTGAACACTGGTTAAAACTTAAAATTGATGTATGCTCAACATAGGTATATATTCATATATAAACTGTTGACGTTTATGCATTCTTTATGATGTTACAGTTCAGGAAAAACTTTCATTTAACTAATGCATATTTAGCTTGGCTAACATGTATTTAAGTCATACGCTTTGGTTTTCGTTCTTGTTTTTTTTTAATTTTTGTATATGTGTGCTTATACTTGCTAAATGGATACGAGAAAAAAGGAAACCTTGTACGTTCTTGTTTTAATATGTACGCTTCTTGCTCCTAATAAAAACTGTTTACTTTTTTATGAATTGCGTCGCAATTTTGTATAGAAAAGTCCTTCATCTATGATGTTGAACTAAAAAAAAAAAAAAAAAAAAAAAAAACGTTTTGAACACCAGATGAGACGTATAAATGGATAATGTAAATATGTAAAATATATAATCACTCATATTTAAATGGCAAGTAAGGTCTCATACGTGCGCATTGGATCATCACAAGAGAGGCTTTAGTATATATAGTGTACGTTTTTTTTTTTTTTTTTTTCTGTACATTTATTCACATGCTTAGTTAATAGTAAATATATACGCGTAAGCGTATGTACATTGATACATAGGGAGAGTAAAGGTGATAGTGTTTTTCTTCAAATTAGAAAAAAGGAATGAAAACTTCAAACATGTATTAAGGGATAATGACATAAGAGCAAAAAGAAGTACAATGCTACATAATTGCTAAGAAAAACTTGCTAAATTGCTCGGTAAATACTTATGATACCTGTCGTCGATTAACTCTTTTAATTTTAACATCGTTCTTTTTTTAAACGTAAAGAAGAAAAAACAAAAAAGCGGCGCAGAATTCAACCTTTGACTCGATCTTCTAATTTTTCATAATACATGTCGTCACAGATATATATTATATACATATTATATGTATATACGAAGCTGCTTTTTTTTTTTTTTTTTTTTTTTTTTTTCCCACCTTAAATGGCAATGTGATGCTGAAAAGAAAATTTCGTCTAAGTGTGAAAAACTACTCTTTTGATTCAACTAATTGTGTTACTTTGAAATGGTGGGATGGAGCAAAAAAAAAAAAAAAAAAAAATAAATAAATAAAATAATAAAATAAAAAAATAATAAAACAAAAAAATGAAAAAATAAAAAAATAAAAATAATTTAAAAAATAACACAATACCAGCAACACTCAAAAGTTTTGGCGTCCTACCAGACCCAAATTAGTTTTACACATACGTATGCATACATTTTACATATTTGTAATTGTTTATTAAATTTTGAAGTACCCAGATTGAATAATAAAACATTGTGTTTCACTTTTTTTTTTTTTTTTTTTTTTTTTTTTTTTCTCTCTCTTTACCCACATTGAAGTTATTTACTTTTATCGCCCTTCCTTTACGTATTGATTTATTTTAAATAGGTAAATACATATATATTTTTGATGAAAAAGGAGAAACGCTACGCAGTTAAAAACACATTTGCACAAATATTCAGATAGAGGCATACTTACATATATTATATATGTATATATCCCTGCGTACATTGAAAGCCCTTCAAATTATAGCCTTTATGTTCGCATGTGCATGCGCTGAGAAACTTACATTTGAATGGGTATACATATCAATACATGCATAAAAGGTATGTTTACAAAAAGGAAACATTTTTGCTTTATCGATTCCTGCAGGAAAGACACACACTTCTTTTTACTTAAGTTTTGTGCGTTGTCCCTTAGCAAAGCAGGCATAAATTAGAGAAAAGTATAATAGAAATGTTTTTCCACGATTAGGATTATGCATAGAAGCAATTTTTCGAACGAATTTTTCCTCGTCTGGAAGTCTCTTTTTAAATAGTTCATGCGTTTCTTATGTATGCTTGAAGAGTTAGTAACACATTTACCTTTCCACCTCTTCATATACACAATCAGGCACATATATATAAACATATACATATATATATGCAGCGTAGCACATAGGGGTATGTGCAGATATATGCTCTAGAATGCATGTATTGTCAACCGAGAGCATACAAATATGTTTAATGGAGAAAGCAGAAACAGAAAAATTAATCTGAGCGGTAAGAAACATGTAATTCTGAATAAGGATTCATTTATCGAAAGGGCTAAGAAAGAAAAGGAAATTCACCTTACATTGACTAGAAGAAAAAATGCTTTTAAGGTTATAAGTACATATGTAAGTTTTAAAAAATGCATTGAAAGAAGGAGAAATGAAATTAATAATTTAATTTCGAAAAGAATAAATGATGTTGTGCTGTTGGAAAACCTGGTTGCACCAAATATTTATGAGCAAGCGTTAAGAATATGTATCTACGAATTTTCTATAAGTTGCACTTTTTTGTATTCCAAACGAAGTTGCTATTATTACTACAAATGTATGAATTTCGACAGTCTCTACCCCCCAGTGAAATATTTGTTAGATGTGCTGAAACTGTATGATAAGGTTGGTCATATAAATGAACCCTTTTTGGAAAAAGTGAATCATCGGGGAGGGAAATCCAGTCAGCAGAATCAAGTTCATAAGGACTATAATCAAGAGGAAAAGGAGAAGCATGCCAAAACGAACGACACATCCGTTATGGAATCAATTCATATGGATAAAATGAATGAAGACAGATCATGCAGAAACAACTACAGCGAAAAAGAACCAGACAAGAAGGAAGGATATGTTATAAGGAATAAATTCCTTTACAGGCATAAGAAAGAAATAAAAATTTTCCTTAACCATTTGGATGTCTTGTTGGGAAATTACTATTTGTATAGAGAGAATATATATGGGGAGTGCCAACCCAAGTTGTCAAGTGTTCGGAGGCAAAGGGATCAGTTCAGCCACCTAGATGAATCCAGAAGGAGTAGTAACCGTGGATTAATCAAGTCAGGCTCAGTAGAGGTAGTTGGATCGGTCGAAGCGGATGTAGCGATCAAAGCGGATGCAGCGATGGAATCAGATGTAGCGATGGAATCAGATGTGGCAGTGAAAGGAACAGACGACTTAGGACTGCACCTGTACCACATGTACAACTTCATTTTACACAAATCCTTTTGCCACGACATGGTGAAAAAAGTAAAATTTCGTGAAGAACGAAATCTGCTCAAGGACATGAATTGTGACGAAAGTGCATTGGTGATGTCTCTTCACAAAATAAGTGATTACATAATTTTAACAATAGAAGGAATAATATGTATATTACAAAAAATTGTTCTGTCGTATAGTCATAAAGATATCGCTAAGATCTCGTCGTCTAAATTAATGATATACATATGCGACATTATATATATATATTTTTATTCATTGAAAATGAAGGGACATGAGATAATCAAGAATAAAATAGACGATTTGAAGAGTAAGCTAAATTTGTTACTACAGTTTGTATGTATGAATTTAGATTACATGAAGGAATGTCATTCCTTGTACATAACTTTTTTTAAATACCCTATTTTTGATATTTTTACATGTTCCATTGATGTAATGAAAGAGCTTGGAATGCTTAAAAGCTTGCTGTTGAAAATAATTAATGGTACATATGTAAGACAGAACGTAGATGTAATACGAGATTTGGTTTACTCTAATGACAATCCTTACATGCATGTGGAGAAATATAATTTGTTTAATAATGAATCATTTGATAGGAAACACATATCTGGTGTTAACTTATTTAAAAATGTTCTTTTATTTTCACAAATAAATGAAGAGTTAGTAAAAGAAAATGTGGTGGACATTTTGCTTGAGTCATATCTATTTATGTCACTAAAGTATCATCCATATATTTACAAGGGGAAGTATAAAAATGAAATGAACGAAAGGATTAATGATAGAACCCATGAGGTTATCCCCTCTCCTTCGAACGAGGTTAAAACTAGCAGTAGTTCGTTACACAACTTTAGTGATAATGGGTTTGAGAAAAAGAAAATTGGCTTTAGCGAAACTACATACAGTGGTAAATTGGTATCACATAAGAAAAATGAATTACACTCTGATGATCAGCATAAAAATGAAATACATTCAGATATTGGTTTTTATTATCACAAAGGTGTTATAGATTCCCTAATACGTATATGCAAAAGGTGCCAATTTAAAAAGTTAGATGCATTGCTCTTTTTTCTACTTCCATTTAGAAGTATACATGAGAATGTATACAATAGATACAGGAATTATTATGAGTTTATAAAAAATGTAAGTAACAGCACTCAGTTGTGTTCCCGTAAAAAAAATTGTTTCTTTAGCCAAAGGAACAGCAGACAAAGAATAAATTTGCTTCCTCACAGTAATAATGAGTCCCCTTGTGGTAATAGTTCGTATGTATCAAGTGATGTAAACGTACTTAAAGGAACAGGAACTGCAATGGGTGGAAGTCACTTTGGAGGTAGTTACGTGGGTGGAATTTCATCAGGTTCTAAGTTATTCAAAGGTGTGAGCTGCACGTGGTGGAACAATGCTCAGAGTTCAATTTCTCCAGTTAAACAGAGCACAAGGAATTCACTACATTTGCATGAGTTGAAGCAACAAGTGATTGATCGTAAAAGGAGCCTTTTTAGTCTGAACAACCTCCTCAGGGTAAGAAGCAAAAGAGGGAAAAGATTTGGTACAGCTGCAGTTGCTCAGGTGAGTACTGAGGCGAGTCCAGAAGCAGATGCAGGGAAAATCGGAGGGAAAATCGGAGGGAAAATCGGAGGGAAAATTGGAAGGCAAATTGGAGGAACGTGGGAAGCGGATCTTATGAACAACACCATACTATTGAAGGTTAAAAGGATTCTGATCGAACACAACATCCACATTTACTTAGTGAGGGAAATATACCTACTATGGTTTTACAATTGCAATTCTAAGGACACGCTATTTTTCAAGTACTTGTCATCATTTCCATATTTTGATAACACCATTGTATCGATATATTTGTCAGCACTATGTTTTTTGCTTCACTATTATGTAGTTTTGAATATGTGCATCAACTTAATAGATATAAAGAATTTTAAACTATGTAAATCTTTTATGGCAAGTGCAAGTTTTAAGAAAGTGTGCAAACTTTTGTTAATGTCTTTATGGATAATTCTTAAAAATTCAGTACATGCAATTAACACAGAGGTTATGAATCATCTATCCAAGTATGAGAAAAATGAGACAATAGATGAAGAGGAAAACGAAGAAGCCGAATTGGAAGAATTTATTGAATCTATGAACTATGAAAATGTATACAATGACGAAGATGAGAAGTATGAGAGGCAGTTGAATAGGAAAGAAGAACGAGAAATAGAAGAAATTGAAAATGTTTACTTAGTCCATTTTCAAGTTCCTAAAGAGGATGATAAAAGTAACGAAGATGTCTTACATGGATTTGAATCATTGCGTTCCTTTGTGGAGATACCTATTTTGTCAACCCAAGTAGGGAAGTGCCATGATCGAGATGTAATAAGGATTTTTCAGACGGATAAACATGTAGATGTACCGATATGTAGTGAAAATGATATTTTGGATTCTTTAGATGAATTAAGTAGATGTGAAGAATCTGCATCTGCTTTGGGAGATTGCTACTTGAGAACACAAAATTTGATGAGTTCTAAGGTGGACTCTTCAGCAAGTGATTTGTACTATCATAGTGAGATAAGCAACCAAGGTGGCAGTAGGATTAGTCTTGGACTTGGAAAGAGAACCAGTTTTCTGAGTAATAGAAGTAGTGAAGAGATATCATGCATGACTTCAACATTAATTAGCTACCTGTTGCACCACCAAGATAGAAGGGGATTGGGATACATATTACCTCAGTTACTGAAAAAGTTGTATAAAGTAAATGGATATGTGCATATATTTGAAGAAGATTTCTTTGTGATTAAAGAAACTTTTAGCTTATTAAAGAATCGATTTAACATTATTGGGGATCAGAATAATAGTGCAAGTAACACTAATCACTCTAGTAGTAGCAATGTAATTGGTAATAGTCATTATGATGAGGATTCATCTTTATTTATCGATAAGAACGATTCATATTTAAATAATAACATAAAGTATGTGAATGAGTTAGCTAATTATTTATTGAGATATACCCCATTTACTCTTCCATTTGATGATCGCATATTGATATTTTACAATAATCGAAATAAATCAAAAGATAATATAAGAGACGATAGTAGATTCCATTTTTTAGATGTGAAACATCATTTGGTAAGAAGATCGCATATAGTGGAAGATGCATATGTAATGTTACATATGTTAGATGCAACACAAATAAAACAGAATATTAGAATTGCTTTTATCGATGAAAATGGAAATGAAGAAATTGGGATAGATGGAGGAGGGTTGTTTAAAGAATTTCTTATACTCCTATGTCGAGAAATATTTCACGTGAACTTTTTCCTTTTTGATTATGTTAACAATGATACTTTATATCCAAATAAGTTAAACCGAAATGATAATTTAAAATTGTATGAATTTTCAGGAATAGTTGTTGGAAAAGCCATATATGAACGCATACTGATAGAATCCGTTTTTAACGAAGTATTTTTAAGTTACCTACTGTGTGATGATATCGACCTAGATGTCGATGTCGATATGAACATCAATGATTTATATTATATCGATCAGAACGTGTTTAACAGTCTCTTGTACATTCAGAACACAACACACGTGGAAAATCTCTCTCTAACCTTTTGCATCTACGAGAGGAACAAACCTGATGTAAAAGATGTACATCAGTATGAGCAGATCATTAGCTATTTTAAAGAATTAGAGAAGCACATGGCAAATGGGTTAAGCAGCGAGAATAACAATCGATTTGCTGATGGAAGAAGTGGAGGAGGAGGAAGCATCAGGGAAAGAAATGGAGGAAGCCGTTTTTTTTCACAAGGCAATGGCAGAACACAGGAATATGATAATATCAACAATTTTTTCAACATCATTGACAATTTAGATGCTCTTATAAGTACGCTTGATAGGAACTTATCATCAATTTCAACTTCTCCTCTCTACGAGCACTTGCCAGATGTTAACAGAAGAGAACGATTAGTCCCTGCAGATATTTATAACGGGAATTTCCAGTCCTCAGAATTTCTTTATAGGACAAACGAATTGAATTTTAATAACACTCAGAGGCGTATGAACGTGGATTCACACATGCATGCGATGGAATACCCACTTAGAGTGAGTAATAATAGAGGAACTCCTGGGGGCAGCAATAACGGCAGCAATAACGGCAGCAATGATGGAAGCAATAGCTGCAGCAATAAGAAGAACGGTTCGGAAAAAACTGATGAACACACTGATATGGTGGAAAAGTATGGAGATGCAAGAGAAAATGAAAAAGGGGTGGGAGATGCGAGGGAAAATGGAATCCGAGTGGGAGATTATGCAAAAGACGAAGAAGATATAGAATGCATTGATCTAATTGAGAATGGAAGGAACATACTAGTAGATGATAGAAATAAAAAGTTGTACATAAAATTGTATATCAATTATAAATATAAGAAATTAATTAAAAAAAAAATACAGGCATTTTTGAAAGGCTTAACTGAGTTGATACCAATAAAATGGCTTAAACTGTTTAATGCACACGAATTGAAAACATTAATATCGGGTAATGATAAATGTTTTGATGTTGATGACTTGAAAAGAAATGTTGTATATGGTGGAGGATACAATGAAAATAGTCAAACAGTAATTGACCTATTTTATATTTTGAAAACATTTTCTCCAAAAGAAAAAAGTCTTTTCCTTATGTTTGTGACAAGTTGTTCTAGATCACCATTACTTGGTTTTCAAGAGCTTCATCCCAAGTTTTGTATTTTCCGTGTTCTTGATTATACAAGGTTACCCACTGCTTCTACTTGTGTGAATTTATTGAAACTTCCAGATTATTCTTCCAGACAAATTCTGTACAAAAATTTGCTTACGGCTATACATGGTACTCAAGGTTTTGACCTAAGCTAGCTAGCTCTTTGTCAGCTCATCTCTCCAGCACGATCAGCCTTATGTTCAGAGAAGTGTGAAATTAGTGTATATCATCCCCCTCCCCCTCCCCTCAAGGTTTTTTACACGTATAACAGAATGATCATTCTGTACTCTCCTTCTTCCCACGCAACCGAACAGTAAAACGGTTAAAACATTCCGCTTTGTTTTTGTATTTAAACAATGTTGTTAAATTTTTCCCACAACTAATGAATGTGTGTGTCACCCTGTTGTGTGTTTTTTTTTTTTTTTTTTAAGAAGTTTACATTTTTAGCTGCTTTTTAAGTTGCATTTTTTTTTTTTTTTTTAACTCCAACATGAATGATATTAAAAAGGTTATATATACATAACGTGTAACACGAACTTTAAAAAAGGTGTTCCAACAAGATCATTTGCAAATGAGAAAAAGTGTGAATCATGTCGCAAGAAGGCGCACCCTGAGACGGAAAAGAGAAAAAAAAAAAAAAAAAAAAAAAAATGAAATGATTAAATTTGTGTTGACAGTATATTTATTCTCCCGTACATATAAGCCCGTACATATAAGCCCGTACATATAAGCCCATACATATTCGCCTGTACATATGCATATATTATGAGCGACCGGGCGAGTTGATTGGCAAATATTTGGTAAAACTTGTTTTGAATCCCTGTACCATGCTCCTTATGATGGGGCAGAAAAAAATGTATCAACCATTTTTTTATTTTTTGCTCGTGTTTTTTCTGCACTCTTTATGAGTTCGCTCTTTTCCACCGCGCGTAGCATCTTTTGCATATCACCCAAGTGTTATTTAGTGTGGTAGGCAAGAGATAACACAATTTGAGACTTTCAGAATATTTAATAATCTTTGAGGAAAGCATCCAATGCACATCATCTCATGCTGCTGTGTTTCCCATCATGTATCTTTTGGTTTTTTTTTTTTTTTTTTTTTTTTTTTTTTCCCTTTATTTTCATGAGGCAATATTAAAGGATCGGCTTTTACAAAATAACCACAGTGAATATAATGGAAGGACATAGATAAGCATTTCCTCCCCCTCCCAATATTACCTCAGAAATAATAGTTGGAATTTAGAAATATAAGTCCCTTAACCAAGCCCTTAAGTGACTCCTTAAGGAAGCCCTTAAACTTTGCATAAAATTCCGCAGCTTTTTCCTCACTAGTGAAAAGAAACTTGATGAATCTATACAGTTGATTCTCATTTGTGCAAGATATACATTCCTCCAGAAGGGTTTACATATAAATATGAGAGAAGACGCACCGGTAACCACGTGCATGTACATTTATGTAATACATTTTTGCAGACGTAGTTAATATATTTACCTGGTTCGTGTGTCCCTCCCCCCTCCCCAGTAGAGACGCACTAAGAGGAATGCATCCATCATTCAGATTGTGAATGAGAGTGATAGTGATAATGTGTGTTTTTTTTTTTTTTTTTTTCTTTTTTTTCATTTAAGCATACCATTTGTGATTCCACCAATGATACTTATATCCTTTTAGTTTGTTCTATTGCTTCAGGGATGTGTGTGCTTTCAGCCATGCATGCCACACGGAGACAATCGTATATAGAGATAATCTTGTATAGATATAATCTGTACACATATGCACGTGTATACCTATACATACAGATATACATGTGTATACCTGTACATACACATATGCATGTGTGTATGTGTGCAGCCCTGCAGAAACCATGGTTATATCACAGTTTTACATCCTGTCCCCACGGGGTGACACAATCATAAATAGAGATTTCAGAGGAGACGTGTCAAAAGGGAGCGCAGAATTATTTTTCCGAAATGTTAAGCTACACAAAGGAGATGCACCACCACTGTTTTATTTGAACGGGATACATTTTACATATTTAAAAAATAACAGTTTATATTTTGTTTTTACTTCTGTGTTTAACATATCCCCAAGTTACTTAATGGAGTTGTTATATCGAGTAATGAAAATATTAAAAGATTTTTGTGGACAAATAAACGAAGAAGTAATTCGGCATAATTTTATTTTAGTTTATGAAATTATTGATGAGGTTATTGATTATGGGTATATACAGAATAGCAACACAGAATGTATACGTAATTTGATTCACAACGAGATAAGTACAACCCCAAGTGGAGGTAATTTTTCTTCATCTTCTTCTTCTACTGGTAGTGGCAGTAGCAGTTGTGTTACTGGTGGAAGTGTTGCAAGTGCTGTTGGAAATTCAGTTGGTAATAGTATAACAAGTATTAGCAACAGTACAAAAAAATTGGCAAATTTTTCTAATTTTACCATGAAAAATCCAAATACATTACCATCCAATGCTTCTCAGAAGCCGATCCAAATAAATGATAAGAAGAATGAAATTTTTATTGATATTGTTGAGAAAATTAATTTAATCATGAATTGTAAAGGTGAAATCATATATTCATATATCGATGGGGTTATTCAGATTAAGTCTTATCTCCTTGGAAATCCATATATTAAAATAGCACTAAATGATGACTTGTATATTAAAAATATACACACAGATAATACCAAGAATGTTATAATTGATGATTGTAATTTTAATCATTTAGTTAATTTGTCTCAGTTTGAACGAGAAAAAATTCTCTCTCTATATCAGCCCGATGGCGAATGTATACTCATGAATTATCGCATAAACAATAACTTCAAGGCTCCCTTTCGTCCCTATGCTAGTCTCTCCTATCGTCCTAACCACACGGTATGATTTCAAATCGGGATTACTCCACGCTTTGCGTGTACGTCTGCATCACGCTTACATCTGGCAGACCCGTGCATCTATACCTACTCATACATTTAGCAGACGCGTGTATCTCTATACCTACTCATACATCTAGCAGACCCGTGCATCTATACCTACTCATACATCTAACAGACTCGTGTATCTCTATACCTACTCATACATCTAGCAGACCCGTGCATCTATACCTACACATACATAAACCCGACTCGCGCATCTATACCTACTAACACAGGTGGAGCTCTTCATTCGAATAAGACTGGATATCCCATCACAGTACACCTGCACGAATGTATTCGTGAACTGCAATCTGTGCAAGCACATAAGCAATGTGCATTTGGATTTGAACACAAGCTCAGAACTCTTCTCGGCACAGTACATAGCAAATGAGAACAAGTTGCTTTGGACCATAAAGAAATTCAAGGTGAGGAATAAAGTTCAGCACATACGTGTGGAATCGTGCCTATGTAAATCGTGGGTGTCTTAGTGTGCATCTGTCTTTACGCATCGGTCCTTACGCATCTGTCTTTACGCATCGGTCCTTACGCATCTGTCTTTACGCATCTGTCTTTATGCATCTGTCCTTACGCATCTGTCCTTACGCATCTGTCCTTACGCATCTGCCATTGTGCATGCGGGTCTAGGCGTACACTACACGAGTCCACCATTCCCACCACCACACCACAGGGAGAGAAGGAATACAGCATACGTTCCAAAATAACCCTGAACCCAGGATACACATTCTCCAAACGAGACTTTGGCCCAATTTACATAATGTTCGAAATACCTATGTTTAACCTGTCCAAATTGAGAATCAAATACCTAAGAATTATTGAGAATTACCAATCCAGCAACACACACAGGTGGGTGAGATACATCACACAGTCATCGTCCTACGTGTACAGGTTGAACTGATTTGCAGATGGAATGTGGCACATGGGGGAGAAGCGGGAGAATCACTAAGTAATAGTTAGCATGGCTCCTCTGGTCAAGTGCTGGAACCCTATTTATAATCAAAGTAATAGATATATATATGTATGTATATGTATGTATAGATAGATATGCATTGAATGCAGCGACTGCCCATGCAGACATAACGATTTGTAAAGAAAGGATTATTAATAACCTCCTCACATGTGTGGGCTTTTTTTGTTTATACGTATAACCAAATGGGTGAAGCTCAGAGTTGGAGAACAGTTGGGGGGTATTGGACACAACACGATGCAGTTATTACAGAAGATGCGGTAATTTTTTTTTCTCTTTTTTTTTTTTTTTTGTTCATATTTCTTCCCCACGAGATTATTATTCTGTTGAGAACGTTCCATATTTTTCTGCCATTCAGTTGGAAGTCCTTTACATTTTTTTTTTTTTTTTTTTTTTTTTTTTTTCATTCTTATTACGACCCTCCTGCGACCCCTCTACAATTGGTACGTATCCAGAATTAATTTTTTTTTTTGAAAGGAAAGCAAAATTAAGCATATAGATTTCTCACTGACATATGTGTGCATCCGTGTCCATATTAATGTAAATTTCTAATACATGCTCAGCACTTAACTCAATAAATACATATTTAAGAGACTATATATATATACACTGATTTGATGCCATAAGTATTTGTATAAATAAAGATACACGATTTTTATTTTTTTTTTTAAAAAAAACTTCACAACTGTTAACTTTAATAAAAAAAAAAAAAAAAAAAAAAAAAAAAAAAAAAAAAAATTTTCATACACACGGAGAGGTGGAAAAAGCTCAATGGTTCGGATGAAGGTTACAAAATATAATACTTTTTTGTTCTCTTTTTTGGAGTCAGTTAAAATGAGGATTATTATATATCATATAATACATATCAAGATGGAGTGGGTAAAATGAAATAGAAGAATATATGTCAGCTCCAGCACAGGTGATAAGGTACTTTTACTTTGTAAGTTTTCCATGTTTATTTTTTGATGGCTTAGAAATTTCTAGTCTCGCACACCCCCTTTAACATACTTGGAATGGAAATAGGAATGGGAATGGCGAACATTTCTACAATCTGTTCATTTATATTTTTTTTCCTCTCACCACGTACAATTCACGTTTCCTCTACTGGTTCAGTGCACGCTTTATATAAGTGCATATATAAACACGATGTGTAAACTTAGAAGGGAGGTCAACACCCAACTCCCTACACACACACACACACACACACGTGGCACATTTAATTGGTGGATATAACCAAACGTGGAAATATGCTCATGGAACCATGTAAATATAAGCATATATACACATATGTATGAACATGCACTCACATGTAAATACACACTTCTCACAGATTCTTCCCCATTTCCACCCCTCGGGATCTCATATCAATGAATGTCGATAATCTTTCTCATAATATTTCATCACAAAAAAAAAAAAATTACTTAATAAAATATTTATTTGGCCTATCTCATCATGTCGTGCGCCAGTGTGAGAAATTTTAATTGCACTTCCCTCCCTTTTCCATCTTCCAAATTTTTTTGGCCATTCTCTTCGGGATTCTTTTTCGCCCAACATCAACCTGCTTTGTTTTTGGTCTTCTATGAATTTTTCATTTTCTTCACAGAATTTTTCTGTGCTTCTTCTACTGTTGCATCTTTCCTGCTTTTGGAAGGGTCTGTGGAGAGGCCTGTGGAGTGGTCTGGTGCATTGTGTTTCGTCGATTGCTCCTGCCCCGATGTCATATTCCCGTGGGATAACAATGCCTGTGATTCCTGAACAAGTTTGTAGGGGTTCGCTTTGACATACTTCTCATAATTGGACTTGACAGGGTATGGACGTTCTCCAACACATTGAACTATGTCGTGATAAGAAATGGTTTCTTTTTGGAAAAGAAGATTTGCAAGATTATGAACATGCTTTTCATTTTTGAGTAGAATTGATTTGACGCGATTGTACTGCATTTCAATTAGAGATCGAACTTCATTATCTATCAGATGTGCTAGACATTCAGAATGTGGTCTATAGAAACTGTATTCGCTCGATGAGTTGGACTGAAAAGAAACGAGTCCTACTTCACTGTTCATTCCATATTGTGATACATAAGAATATGATAATTGTGTAACTTTATTTAAATCATCGATAGCACCAGTTGTTATTTTACCAATAAATAATTCTTCTGCTGCTCGACCACCTAAAATAACTGCAAGTTTGTCTAAAATTGCATCTCTCGAGAAAAGCATTATTTCTTCTGTAAGATGTTGTGAATAACCAAGAGCACCATTATTTCTTGGAATTATTGAAACTTTCAAAACTGGATCAGCAAATTCAAGGAACCATCCAATTAATGCATGTCCAGTTTCATGATATGATATAATTTTTTTCTCTAGGGGAGATATAAGTGAAGAACATTTGGGCAATCCACCAATAACTCTTTCGATGGCTAGTTCAAAATCTTTTACTTCTATTCCAACCATATTTGATCTTCTAGCACATTGAATAGCACCTTCATTTACTACATTAGCAATGTCTGCCCCAACAAAACCAGGAGTTAAAGATGCTAAAAGATAACTTACATTTTGTATATCTAAAGAATGATGTAATTTTAAATTTTTTAAATGCACTTGAAATATTTCTGATCTTTCTTTAATATCAGGTTTACTAATATTTACAATTCTATCAAATCTTCCTGGTCTTGTAATAGCTGGATCTAGAATATCAAGCCGATTTGTACCTGCTAAGACTATTACTTTATCGTTAGAAGTATGAAATCCATCCATTTCTACCAACATTTGATTTAATGTATTTTCCCTCTCATCATTTCCACCTCCTGCAAATCCACCTTTCGATCTCTTCCTACCAACAGCATCAATTTCATCAATGAATATAATTGAAGGTGCATGTTTCCTAGCTTGTGCAAATAATTCTCTTACTCTTGAAGGTCCAATACCAACAAAAACTTCAATAAAATCACTTCCGCTTATGTTAAAAAAAGGAACGTTGGCTTCTCCAGCTACAGCTTTCGCTAATAAAGTTTTTCCTGTCCCTGGTGCACCACAGAGAAGTGCACCTTTTGGCATTTTTGCACCCAAAGTTTCATATTTGGATGGATTTTTTAAAAAGTCTACAAATTCCATTATTTCCTCTTTTGCTTGTTTCATTCCTGCTACACTTGAAAATTTGACATTTGTTTTTAAACTATTTTTATTTATAGGATTTACTTTATTAAATTTAAAAAGTTTATCCATACCACTGTTAGCTACATTTTTCAATGTTATTTTTTGAAATATAAAAATGAGTAATAAAAAGAAAAGAATGCTTGGTATATAGCTTTTTATTTCATCTAATACATTGGTTTCATTTGTGTATTGTACTTCTATCATTTCTTCTCTTCTAATGTTCATTTCTTTTTGCACAAGTTCTACTTTTCTTTCAAATGTGTCGCTATTTCCTACTCTAAAACTTACATACTTTTGGTGATATCTGTTCATTCCATGTATGTTTAAATATACCTTTACATAGTCTTTATTTATTAATTTTATTTTTTCTACATATCCTTTTGATAAATAATTCAGAAAAAAATCATTCTGTGTAATCTCATTGTGTAAGCTATTTGCATCCACAAAGAGGAAAAAAAATAAAAGGAATATAAAAAAAAATAAAAAAAAATAATTATCAAATCTTTTATTATTCTTTTCATCATCTGGTTTGAATGAATTCGACGAAGACTGCGAAGATGATGATGATCCTGGATTTTTCTTCTTTTCACATTTCTCAAAGTTTTCAAATCCTTTTGGTACTTTCGAAAAGTACATTTTAATCAATTTTTCCAATTTTATTCCATTTTCTTTAAAACAAATTGATATTTTCGAATCACATGCATATCTTCTAACGGTGCTGAATGCACTTGTCATTGGTCGAATATATCCATTCCTAATCCGTCCATCGTATTGATTTCCAATCCAGATGTTATTGCTTATCCTTGGGAAATCCATTTCTCCTCTATTCACAATTCTATGGGTACATTTGTCCTTATAATGAAAACATGATTGACATGTGCTTTTTTTTCCTCTACTCTGTTTCTTCTTCATCCCACGATATTCTTGCATCTTTCTCTGTAACAAGGATCGAACACATTCTTCTAACTTTGAAAATTCTTCTTTTTTCAAGCCTTCATTGCGGTAGAAAGCCTTTGCATACTTTTTCAAAATGTGCATCACGTGTCGACATTCCCTACGATTCCCACCGCTTGAGATGATTCCATCAGTTGCGGTTCCTACATCTGTTGTCATGAGTCCACCTCTTGAGATGGTTCTGCTTCGAACTGGTTGAAGGTCTTTCTCAACTGCTCTCCCCACTACTTTATCAAATTTGTTCATATTTAAAAGTGATCCAAAGTATTTTCGAGGGTCTAGTAACTCTCCAATTATTTCCATCTTGTCAAAGGGTGACCCATTTGTTCCATTGTTGGAAAAGATCCTTTTTGTTTTTATGAACATGTGCGATTTTTTCATTTTAAATTATTCTACTCTGCAGAGGTGGAAGCAGCGATGGAAGCAGGGATAACTATATATGTATATATATATATATATATATATATATATATATATATATATAAGTAGTTTATCCACAGTATGGTGAGTTCCTCTTTTTTCTGCTGCTTCTTCTCTTCACGTGACATGCTATACACGTGGTACTTATTTTTAAGTTCTATCTCCAACGTTTTTTGTCACATTTCTAGTGTCGTAAAAAATGTGCTTATCGAATGGGGGAGGGTAGTAAATATAGCACTAACAAAGGAATCCCGTCCATGCGATTAACCACAACTTTTACTTTCACTTTTTCTTGCACTTCTTTCACTTCTTCTTTCGCTATCTTTTCTCCTCTGAGTGCTGCTTTCTGTGTTCATGCGATTTTCCCCTTCAGCTTTTATGTGCATACAGAAAGGTGTGAAAAGATGGATATGTAGAAAAATAGTTTTATACCACTAAAGCACGGATAATGCAATGTCACTATGTTTTTTCATATATCTTAACAGATGTGTATGAATGTGAAAATACATTCAATAGCACTGAAAATGTGAAATTGCCTTGATGATATATATGCAACATACAATAGGGATATCACTTCGAATATTCAGTTATATATGCCCAATTGTTTTTTTTTTTTTTTTTTTTTTACATCTCCGGGAGGGATAGAATCATTTACATGCATATATGTACATGTACATATGTTTTTGTGTTTCAATTTATGTATAAATGTAATATCTTGTGGTTATATAACAATATAATCCAGCGAATATGCAAAACTGCAGCATACCCGAGGGGCGGACAAATATGTAATATAACGTTGTCCTATACATGATCTTTGCTCAAAGTGGTATATCGTCTGATTCGTCATACGAAACAGGAATACACAAAAGCAGATGATGTGATACTTAAGGAAAGAAAGATAAGGTGACAAAAGTAGATGAAAAAAAAAAAAAATAAGTCATGTGAAACACAATTAAGTGGGTTCTAATTTTTTTTTGGAGGTATAATTTAGGGAAGGGAGAGGAGAGTATTGAAAAGTCCAATACAAATGTCTTCCTGATGGACGACAAAAAATTTCTTGTGTGTGAAACGAATATAAACGAAATTATCATTTCTAAAAAAAAAAATAATATGAACTGAGAATCGTGCCGACAAGTCAGTGTATATACGTTGAAAGGCAGAACTGTGAGATATTTTTTTTTTTTTTTTTTTTTTTTTCACAAGCCCAAGAAAAAAAACTGTTTATAGTTAGCACTTCTACTTCCTCTACATTCCAACGTATACACTATCATTGTGGTATGTATGTGATATTTATTATAGGTTAATAGAGGTAGATACTAGAAGTTAAGCGTTCAAGATTTTATTTCTGGGTCACGGGGAAGAAAAAGAGAAAGAGTGGAAAAATGAAGATGCAAAAATGAAGATGCAAAAATGAAGATGCAAAAATGAAGATGCAAAAATGAAGATGCAAAAATGAAGAGGTAAACATAAGGGGGCAAAAATGAAGAGGTAAACATAAGGGGGCAAAAATGAAGAGGTAAACATAAGGGGGCAAAAATAAGGGGGCAAAAATAAGGGGGCAAAAATAAGGGGGCAAAAATAAGGGGGCAAAAATAAGGGGGCAAAAATAAGGGGGCAAAAATAAGGAGGGAAAAAAAAAATAAAGTGAAAAAGCTGCACGTTTACGCTGCCATTGTTCTGCCGCTTGGCTTTTCTTTCATGAATATAATAAAAATGGCTTCACCCATTTTGTAAATTCTCAAATATCATTTTTAATTTGTTCATGGATATATATATATATGCCTCTTCGCGTGATGGTGATGAAACTGTGTGTTGTACATATCATCCAAGAAAAAAAATAAACAATTTTTTTTTTTTTATTTCCTTTCAGGTGCAGATTTTGTGTGAAGAAATTTACATATCAATTTTTTTTTTTTTTTTTTTTTTTTTTGTACTCACATTATACTCATCCTTTGTTGCCCCCTCACCCACCACACCACCTATTTATGTTGACAAGAAAAATAAGGACCTATTTTTACTATTACTTTATATACACTTACATATTTACATATCTGGCAAAGCAAATGAGAAGAAAAAAAGGAGGAAAAAAAAAAAAAAAAAAAATACTTATTTTTGGTGACAGATGAATGTACATGTTATTTTATTTCATTTAATTTTTATTTTTATTTTATTTTTTTTTAAATGGAAACAGGAAGAGCACTTCAAAACGGTCATTTTCCCATGAAGTATAAAACCCTGTATACAAATGAATAAACAATAGTTTCATTTGCTTTTTTTTTTTTTTTTTGCTACATATGTGCGTGTCCATTTCTGAAATCCCGTTGAACAAAAAATGGTTATGAAATAAAGCACATTTCATCATATGCTTTGTATTTCTCACATATTCTAGGTATCTTTTTTTCTGAACTATGTAAAAAAAAAAAAAAAAAAAGTACACTACAAATTTTTTTTTTTTTTTTTTTTTTTTTTTTTGCCTATGGTTAATCCTCCAGTTGTTAACAAAATATGAAATTAGAGTATTGGTTGAAAAATACTTGAGGTTTTTAAAAAGGTCCTTTTAAATAAAGAAAGATGGGGCACAAGTGCATATACATAAATAGACAGTTCTGCATTCGATCTGACGCATGTACGTTATTTGAGAGACACATAAATCGATAGAGAAAATATGCCAACTGTTACGTATCAAAATATATATGTATAGATAGGTAGATGTAGACGGATGTAGATAGATGTAGAAGGTTGTAGACGGATGTAGACGGATGTAGATAGATGTAGATAGATGTAGATAGATGTAGAAGGTTGTAGACGGATGTACAAATGAGTTTTCCGCACATGATGTCCTAGAAACAGTGGAGCGTTTCCCAGGATTGGCAAACGCGTACCTTTATGAGTTCACCTCATGAGTTCCCTACGCCCCTGTCCCTTTTTATTCCACCGTGCTAAGGTCCAATTGTAAAATTCACTGTATCATCATAATCGCCATATTTACTGATGATAAAGTTTCAGCTGATGATGGTGCTACTGCTGGTGGTGGTGGCAACGAAATAATATAATAATTCATACAGGATCGCACATGAAAAGAGATATGTGTTTATCTAACACATGGGGTGTACAGTGTTAGGAGTTGCTTATATACACACATGCACATGTGCATGGAACTACAACAACATTCAATACTGCTGCCTGTTTACTCATGTGAGAAATGTAGTATCACAACGGAAGGTTTTCTCAGCAGGAATGGAAAGGGATACATTCTCATTGCTGTATGCATAACCAAGTCTGTATCCATACACATATATATAGGCACACAAGAATGTTAACATGTGTATGTAACAAGCTCATATATATGTAGCACGTGCATGTATAATAAGTACACATATACATGTTTACATTCGTGAGCCTACACATGTGTGAATGGTCGCAGATTTTCATTTTCCCTTTTTTCGCTTTTTTGACGTATTTTCGTGTGAGTGCGGGGTTGTCATAAAAATGTGGGGAAAAAATGGCTGACTTGATTTTTATTTTCAGTTTTATTTTCAGCTTTATTTTCAGTTTTATTTTCAGCTTTATTTTCAGTTTTATTTTCAGCTTTATTTTCAGTTTTATTTTCAGCTTTATTTTCAGTTTTATTTTCAGCTTTATTTTCAGTTTTATTTTCAGCTTTATTTTCAGTTTTATTTTCAGCTTTATTTTCATTTTCAGCTTTATTTTCAGCTTTATTTTTAGTCTTACTTTTTTTTTATTATTTTTTTTCCGTCGCACCTTTATTTCACCCTCGCTTGGTTTTTTTTGTTTTTTCTTCTTTAACGTTTAAGTAGAAGACTGAAACATACTTGACCCCCAGATGCCTTAACTGTTGCATTTCCTTTCAGCCTATTTGCAAATGTAGTGTTTGTCCATCAATCCTACACCTCTCTCCCCTAAAAAAAAAAAAAAAAAAAAAAAAAAAACCACTTCAATTTTCACGCATGTATTTGCTGGTGTGAGTTTTTACAATAACAAAGAAATTTGCGATTTGGCGAAATGTGTGAAGCAGAAGCAGACTGCTTTTATTTTTGGTTTACTCTTCATTGTTCATTGTTTATGGTTTACTGTTCATGGTTCATTATTTATTTTTTTTTGTTTTTTTCCACCTCTTTTTCCCTTTCATTTTCCCTTTTATTTCTCCCCATTTTTTTCTTCTTTTCCTTCTGCTTTTTTTCCTTAATCTCTTTTAAATCAACACACATTTAGTAAAACTTTGCAGCATTTTTTTTTTTTTTTTCGTTTCGCCTGTTTTATTTTGTTTTACTTGATTTATTAAGCTCTTTTTATCTCCACCAGATTATTTTCAGCTCACTCTCAGGTTATTCACTTTATTAATATTCATTCCATTTGTGCAGTCCTCCCCCCCCTTCCTCTTTCATTCCATTCAATTCGATTTAGTTTTTTTTTTTTTTTTTTTTTTTTCACTATCTCCTTGGACTTTGCTTATTTTTAGAATAAATACTACTGTTTCGCACTTATTCTTCCACTCCTCTTACCCCATTTTTGATGAATAAATTATAAGCACACACACATATGGATGTGCAACAGATCGCGAATGCAAATAATGCACACATACTTGTGTTTTTATATATCTCCAGACAGAGTTCGTACATGTTAAATTGTTCCTTACCAACACATGTATAAAAATAGTTTTATTCTTTGTAAAATGTGTGATTTAAACAATTCTTTTTCTCTTGTGTCAATTACATGATCACATAATGTGATCATCTGTATGTCTTTCTGTCTATCCCTCTCTCCCCTATCACTATCCCCTATCACTATCTCCCCTTATCTCATTCTTTTTTTTTTTTTGTACTTTTTTCAAACTTTGAGAATACAAAGAAAAGGTCATTCATCCACCCAGCGTTAAACACTCACCTAATATTTCCATGTTGTGTGTGAGAGGAAAATCCATTCATAAGTGTGTGATAATTATGTTGATAGTGCAAAGAAAGAAAAGTAGAGATTGACAGTGTCCATTTTACTCTAATTGGAAGAAGGTGTACCACTTTCGAAGAACATTATATTCATTTCTACTTTTGGACACCACTACTGTATCACAATCGTACGAAAAAAAAAAAAAATAAAATAAAATAATTTCCCTCCCTTCCCAAACGTCATACTTGCAATGGAGAAAAAACGAATGGAAAATAAAAATTTGGTGAAAAATAAGAGAAATAATTATGAAATGCCATTGTATGGAGCGGGAAATAATTTGAAAGAATCAAATGTGTCAAGTGGGCCCAAGGGGTCAAACAGATCCAATGAAAAAAATTCGGGACAAGTAGAAAACGCAATAGGAATAACGAGTATCAGAAATCTTAGCAATATGATAAGTCCAGATGACATGTATAATGAAATAATATGTAACGACATTCAGTATGGAATAAACAAAAATGAATGTAACGGGGTTATCTATGTGAATGATAAGCAATATGAAAGGATATTAAAAAGAAGATTGAGGAAAATGAAACAAGATATTGAAAGAAATAGAAAAGTTCGTGTATATATTGCTATACAGAAAAAATCATTTCTAAGTATGCACACATTTCATAATAATAACATGAACACGTCTTTGTATAATTATGATCTGAATATAAATGAACCATTTTATAAGACGAATAACACAAATTTGAACGTAGTTCCAACAGGAGTGGTAGTATCCGGATCGATATCAAATGGTACTACTCCACATTTTCTCAATGGAAATGCGAACAATAATTATATGGCACTGTATGAAAATATGAAAACGATATTTGATATGAATCTAGAGAAAGATGATGACAAGAGAAGTAGCGTCAGTCGGAACCAGTACACACAAAGGAATACCAACAACCTTAACATGGAGGAAGATTACAAGAAATACATAAATGCATGTGCGTTGACTAATATGGGGAATGGAAAAATCGTGTCAAGTATGACCACTTCCCACAATGTAGACAGCATGAACACTGCGAGTAGCATGAATAACATGAGCTATATGAATCACGTAAGCAGTACAAGCAACACAAACAACATGAACAACATGCACAGCGTGAACAACATGCACAACGTGAACAACATGCACAGCGTGAGTAACGTGAACAGCGTGAATAACATGAACAACGTGAATAACATGAACAATGTGCATAGCTTGAATAACGTGAATGGCGTGAATGGCGTGAATAGCGTGAATAGCGTGAACAACATGCATAACTTGAATAGCGTGAACAACATGCACAACTTGAAAACTATGCACAACACACACAACATGCACAACCGGCAGAACCGGCAGAACATGTACAACGCGCACAACACACATAACATGCACAATGCTCACAACACACAGAACACGCATAACATCACAAACAGCGAGAACATTCAGAACAGCCCGAACCATGGAGAGAATCTCAGCATTACTGTGGAAAATTATAACGAAATGGACGATACAAACCAAATTAATAACTTAACTAATTTTTCAAACTTTTCAAATTTATCCAATTTGTCGAATTTATCGAATTTGTCCAATTTGTCCAATTTGTCCAATTTATCTAATTTCGCCAATTTGTCCAACATATCCAATTTGGCTAGCTTGGCCGATTTGGCGAATCTGACTGGTTTGGCCCACCTCACAGATTTAGCTAGTCTGGCTAATTTGACACATCTGAACAACTTGGATAGTACAGAAAATCCGGAAAATACTGAGAATATGGATCGGATAGATGAAATGGGAAATCTTAAGGACATGCATATGGACACCTTGAATATGAGAAATTTGAGCGGCGTTAACAATATGAATCAAATAAGTCATGTGAATCACATTGACAACGTTAATAGCATGGGTCATATAAGCCATATGAACCACATGAGCAATGTTAGCGGCCCGAATCGGGTTAGCGACGTGAACCGGGTTAGCGACATGAACAGGGTTAGCGACATGAACTGGGTTAGCAATATGAATCGGGTTAGCGACATGAACCGGGTTAGCGACATGAACCGGGTTAGCGACATGAACCGGGTTAGCGAAATGAACAGGGTTAGCGATATGAACAGAGTTAGAGATATGAACAGTGCTAGCGATTTGAACAATGGTAATGACATGAACCATATGAGTCACATGAACAACATGAATAACGGAAGCAACATGAACCATTTGAGCCACATGAACCAACTGAATCAGCTGAATCAACTGAATCAACTGAATCACATGAACCAATTGAATCACATGGACCAATTGAATCACATGGACCAATTGAATCACATGGACCAATTGAATCACATGGATCAATTGAATCACATGGACCAGTTGAATCACATAAACAACGTTAACAGTTCAGGCAATATGAACAATTTTTGCAATGCCCTGGGCGGCAATTTCCAATATGGTCTATACGATGACTAGCATATATTTGCCTGTCCGATGTTGTAAGAGGGTAATCACTCTTTGTTGGAAAGGAAAAATCACACGTTAAAATGTAAGCTACGTATAGATGATATTTTGCTAATATTCTGCTAATAACTCGTTTTTTTGTCTGATATACTGTCTGATTTTCTGTCGAATTTGCTGTCTGATTTTTTTTTTTTTTTTTTTTTTTTTTTTTTTCCCTTTGACATTTTTGCCAATTTATGGGTTACTCCAACAAGTATGTGTGTTACGTTGCTACACAGCACAAATTGTCTCCTGATTTTTTTTTTTTTTTTTTTTTTAATTTTGCTTTTATGATTACATGAAGAGAAAAAAAAAAAAAAAAGAAAAAAAGAAAAGGCAATTAAGTGCCATTCAAATGTTCCTTTTCAATGTATGGATATACATGTATACACTCGGGCACTCACACTTGTGATCGTGCACATTTTTTTTTTTTTTTTTAAATTGTATGCATGTGATATCCCGGATTACAATTTGACAACTCCTTTCACTCTTTTCGCCCGTCTCGCATTAAGATATATATAAAAACCAGAATATGTGAAAAAGCTGTAGACAGACACAAACACACACAAACACTTTGCTTTGGTTCGCGTTGCACATATATATATGCGAGTAAATTTCCCCCTTTAGTCCCACTTCATTTCAACAATTTTTGACACGCAACAGAAGTAACTTTCATGGTAACAACTACATACCTATTTGGTGGATTTCCATTTAATTTCGAGAAAAATCTAAAAACTGTGCATATACTTTGATATGTCTAAGATATGGTTACGTTTTCTTTTCGAAAGGTTATTTTTTTAAAATGTGGTTATTAAACAAAAAAAGAGAAAGAAGTAGAAAGGCAGCGGAAAAAGAAGTAAAAAAGGTAAGCGCAAATGAAAACAAAAATGAAAAGGGAAGAGGCGAACTTTAAAAAAATACGCCGCAATCAACGCTTGGCATATTCACATGTTTAAACCAATTTTGCATGAACATGCATAAAAAAAAAGGGGAAAAACTAACAAAATAAAAAAACTGAGAGTGAAACAGAATAGCTAAACAAACAAAACAAAGAAAGCTAAAACTAAAAAGTGCGATATTTTTTTTTTTTTTTTTTTTTTTTTTTTTTTTCTGTACGTACAGGGAAAATTACGTGATTTATATATACAAACATGGATATTTTTTTCTCACATCTTTTCGCTGCATATTTTTAATATGCACATATTGGAAAAAGCTGAATGAAATGCGAATAAGGAATAAATACATAGTAGGCCAAACTTAGGAAGACATAAAATGTTTTAATTATATACGGAAAAATGGAAGGTCATGAATTCATAAATTATTGTACATCAAACATATAATAGTAAAGTCTAGTTTCTGAAAATGTCCAAATAGTGAAGAAGTGCAACAAATCGAACTGTTAAAACGGATAAACGTTCAAAATGGAGGGGCTTTTTTTTTTTTTTTTTTTTTTTGACATCTCAATCTGGTGACAGCTCCTGATGCGTGGTGTATGTTTCCTTTTTTCTTTTGCTTCAGATGGGAAATGTGTGAGCTCTGCCTATCCCCACTGTTTTACATCCATCCATGGCACTAGACAACTGCAAAGGCACATTTTTTTCTGTTTATTCTGCTTCTTTGAGGGAATATTCACACCTGCGTCATTACTCTCATATACCCCCTCTCTTGGTCTGTTCTGTGTTGCTAAAAAAAAAAAAAAAAAAAAAAACTTCCTGTTCTTTTTTTTGCCTCCTCTGGGTGGCATTGCAAGACTAAAATGAACCATTCGTTGTTTGGAGAATTGTAAGGTACAAAACCTTATCATCAGAGCCGAGTTTCATACGTGCATGAAGGTACGTGATGGTATATGAAGAGGCATATCATCCGCATCTGAATCATCAAATGGTAAGTCCTTAATAACCCTAACGTAAACCTTTCTCCTTGAATTGTAAGCAATTCTATCTAGAGTGTTAACGGCCCTTAGCATACCTTCTTTGTTTTCAAACTCAGCAATAGTAATTCCATTTTCAAAATGAGTGTATATAACTTTACCAGCTTTTGTCAAAAATGTTTTAACTGAACCTAAATGAATTTTTTTGGGGAAATTTTTTACTACAACTCTATATTTTGATCTGTTCTTCAAGGTGCGAATCCCATTCACGTCGGTTCCTAATTCACCATCTTTGTTGTTCTTATCAATACTATACTCTACCTTTAGCATGTATCCTTTAAGCCTTTGTCCATTTCTTTTTAATATTGTCTTTTCTGCACTTTGGTAATCTTCATACTCAATAAATGCATAATTCGTTCCATTGCTGTTGCGATTATATTTTATATCGATTTCTTTGATTTTCCCTTGTTCTTCAAACGTTTTTTTTATTTCTTCTTTACTCATAGATCCTGGGATGTTTCCTACGTATATTCTATTTCCTTTCTTTCGAATTTTCATTTTGTTCAATTTTCGTGTGCTCACGTATAAAAAAAAAAGTGGTGCGTTAGGGGAAGTTCCTACTTTACTGTGCAGTTAGTACAGTATGTCTATTTTGTGCTCATGCATTTCACTCGTTACATCTAATCGAATTCGAAACAATGAATCTTAAAAGATGTAGCAGATCTTGATGAGGGAGGTACAGCGGTAAGGTGGTAGAAAGAGAGAAAGATAGAAGGGATGGGGGTTGGGGGTAGGCGTTAATCCAAGAAGCTGCTTTTCTACCTGTTCAAACAAAGTTGTAGGAAAAAGCAAGGTCGTATTATATAATCACTTCAATAAAATTCGAAACACTAATATATGCAGGTAGTCCCCAATAAATTTTAGCATACTTCTGTTCATAAATTATACATTGAAAAAAAATTTGTTGCTTATCCGCTTCTCCTTTTATGCAGGTTTTTAGTGTAATGCGTAAGCGAAGAACACGATGGCTGAAAGGTACATAGTTGGTTTTTTTTTTTGTCACTAATTATTTTGTCACAAATTATTTTTCGACTAATTATTTTGCCACTAATTATTTTGCCACTAATTATTTTGCCACTAATTATTTTGCCACTAATTATATATTTCTTATTATTATTGCTATCGTCATTGTTTTGTTATGGTGGTTATTTTGTTGCTATTTTTCTTTTACTCTCATCATTAATATTATTACTATTGCTATTATTTTGCTTCTTATTATTTTGCCATTCTCCAACTCACCCCAATATATGAGTTGTCGGTTTACTACCACCTTGCAGCTTTAGGTTCTTTTTTTTTTAAATTTATATTTTTGTGTCGTTTCGATTTTCAAAGTTTCAGAGTAGAGGGGAGGGAGGTTAGAAAAAAAGCAGGTCCCTACATATTCGGTGCCTTTTCTAATTCACTATCCCGTGGTAAAAAAAAAAAAAAAAAAAAAAAAAAAAAAAAAAAAAATCTCTGTTGGCTCTTCGTCCCATTGCCCAATCTCCCGTCGTCGCCTAACGTGTCGTTTGCAGAGGAAAAATATTATGCAACATGATTTTTTTTGCAAACGTATGAAATTAAGGAATCCCTGAAATTTTCTGCGACTTTGCAAAATTGTCCTTTCTCGCCTTTTCCCAGCATGGACACACAAGCATAAAAAAATGGTAGTAGATATTTATTAGTTATATATATATATATATATATATATATATATATTACTATGTGCCATTTTTCCACCCCTGAATAGAAAAAAAAAAAAAAAAAAAAAAAAAACGCACTCTCTTCCATTATTTTAACCCCATCGCTTTCCTTTTTTCTGAAAAAATGATTTACAATTTTACTCAAATGATCAAGTAGTACTAACATTTTGTGTTATGGAATTTTATATCTTTATTCAGTGGCGTAAATATAGTTTATCACAGAATGTAAAAAAAAAAAAAAAATAAAATAAAGGTGAAGCTTGAACTTGAAATTTAAAGTATAAAAATTGAAGCATAAAAATTGAAGCATAAAAATTGAAGCATAAAAATTGAAGCATAAAAATTGAAGCATAAAAATTGAAGTATAAAAATTTGAAGTATAAAAATTTGAAGTATAAAAATTTGAAGTATAAAAATTTGAAGTATGAAATATGAGAGATAAATCTGGAAAGTGGAAGTACAAATTTAAGGAAGCAATTTAATGAGCAATAAAAAATAGAAGAGAGATCGAGACGATATTTGATACATGTACGTATGTAAGCACATGTAGCAATAGCAAATATACAGCCTCCATATATATATATATATATATATATGTATATATATGTATAACAGCTCGAGTACCTCCAAGGTAATTTTTGTGTACACGACTGATCATCGGCATAATATATTAAGAAATATTTTGCACCCACCCCTCCGTGCCTCATTGAGGTAGCATATATATATATATATATATATATAAGTGATTTGATAAGTAGATCGATCAGTAAATAGATTAACCATTATGTAGATGAACCAGTATGTAGATGGACGAGTAAGTAGATGGACGAGTAAGTAGATAGACCAGTATGTAGATGGACGAGTAAGTAGATGGATCTGTAAGTAGATAGACAAATATATAAACAAATGTATAGAATAACATAATCAGTGCAAGAGGGAGAGGAAAGCATTTAAACGTCCCACACACACACACATTCACGAAGTACCCATTTTCTTAGATATATTCTCGCATATGTCTTTTCACTTGGATCTAAGATCCACTTGCATTTTTTCTCCCCATCCACTGCTGTATCTTCTCATATGTTACCACTATACCCATCCCATAATTGAAAAAAGCAACGCCACGTAAGTATGAACGAACACATGTTCAGTTATGAAAACATATTCATGAATAAAGAGCTAAATATTGATGAAGAGATTAAGCAGAAAAGTAAAAATGAGAATATAGAACCCACAGATGGCCCAGATGTGGCTCCAGTTGATGAAGGTTCTGGTGAAATTCCCTGCGAAGGTTCAGATTGTATTCCAGAAGGTGACCCAATGTGTGACCTTGTTGAAAACGACTTAAATTCAGAACATGTGCAGGCGAGCTCTTCCATTGAACAAGGTATAATAGAAAACATAATCGAAAATGTGAAAGGTTTTAGTAATTCAGTTGTAGGAGGAACTCCTAATGCCACAGATTGTAAGGTAGATTCCTCAACAATGTTTGAAGAGACAGAATATAAGGGAAATAAGGATTTTCCACAAGTTCAGATAAACAAAAAAATGGCATCTGAAAGTAAAAAAAAAAAAAAAAAAAAAAATGATATATCATCCCTTTTTACCGATTCGTCCATGGAAATTATGGGATTGATCAGGGAAAATCCAATCAATGCCAAGAATGAAATGGGAAAACCGTTTTGTGAAACGGTTGACCAAAGTGAAGAAGCAAAGGAGGAAGTGAAAACAGATGCTGAGACAAGGGAGGAAGCAGAATCAGATGCTGAGGCAAAGGAGGAAGTGAAAGCAGATGCTGAGGCAAAGGAGGAAGTGAAAGCAGATGCTGAGGCAAAGGAGGAAGTGAAAGCAGATGCTGATAAGGGCGCAAGAACCCCTTTTGGTGATGACCAATGCAATGATAAGGCAGAACAAAATTATAATGGAACGATAAGAAAAGATTCAGTAGAAGAGATTATTTCTGAATGTGACATTTACAAAAAGGATGTAAAGTCAGTGAAGAAGAATGAGGAAAATAATGCAATCCATTCCCTCGATCATTACAAAAATGTGGAACGTATGAACCATAACTTTGGACACATGGATATTGGTTCTTACCAAGTGAGCAGTGACATGACAATGGAAGTAATACATGTAAATAGATGCAACAATTATGTGAATTGTAAAGAAAAAGGAGAGAATAATCAATACTATGAGGAAGATAACATCAAAGTTGTGCTCGACAACGAAGGATTGGCTGTTCCTCCCAAGGTGTCCCAATCCACTACAAGAATTTCCTTTTGTTTTGGAAGAAATGGGAACTTTTTCTACACCAGAGGAAGGAAAGTGAAGTACGCTCCCTTGATAAACATCATAAAGGGTTGCATTAGGACGAGAAGTACAACCCAAATTAGTAATGATTCACCTGTCCCTTCATCAAGCAATGTTAATAATAGTAAGAGGAATAATAAGAGGAATAATTGCATCGAGAGTAGAGACAAATGGTTGGAGGAACATATACATGCGATAAAAAATTTCCCGGGACCTTTTAGCAGGAGATGCGACAAAGTAGATGAAAAGATAAAAATTTTTCTGAATGGTCATATAAAAATAATTCGAGAAATGTATGCAAATAACATACATGAATATGCACAAAAATGTTCCCTGTATAATTACTTGCTGAACGTTATAAATAATCCTCAGTTTCTGGATTTTAATTTACAAGATGTAAGAACTGATAAGGAAAGAGCAAAGGCTGTAAGTGAGTGTAAAAGCAGAAATGTCGTGTCTTATTTTGTTGAATCATCTCACAACCAGAGGGGTAGTAGTGTCCCAAGTAGTGGAAGTAGCACCATTGTTCATCCCAGTTGCATTTCTTACTCAGATGTGGCCATTCATTCAATTGAGAATAACTCACGATGGATGCCCAAAGGGAAAGACAAACTGCAGAAGTTGTCATATGACGATGGCGAAGAGGAGGAAGGTGCACCCAAAGAAAGAGGAAAAATGGACAAATTTGAAATAACAGCAGGAGCAGCAGCAGCAGAAGCAAGAGCAGAAGCAGGAATGAAGTTGGAAAAGAGAGAATTTCCAGAAGTCCTTTATAACCATTACGAGGAACAACAAGCAGGGAGAGGCATCAGATGGTTCAATGGAAAACCATTCGCAGAGAAAGAAAAAGAAATGCGCATTATGGATACCACATTGTGTGAGTCGAAGAAATCATATGTCAAACAGTTGTACGAGGGGAAAACGAAAAAAATTTTGGTGAATAACCATAAGTATGAATTTCTTGATTTTGTGGATGAAGAATTCATCAGTAAATTTTCAAACATAGAAAATAATGAAAAAATAACGAAAGAAGATCAATACATGGAATATTACCATTTGTGTATATATAATAGTGAGGAGGCTTCAAAAGTGTGCAATGAAATGAATTTATTTAAATATTTTTTTTTAATTTTGAAAAAGTACAATAAAGAAAAATATTATAGAATGGTTAATCAATACATAAGTCACATAGACAATATTATGAACCATGATATAGAATTAAATGATGGTATGAAAAATATATACAAAATATATAACTCCAGTGTGTATAATGATATTTTTAAAGAAACTTTTGTTTTCTTTATTTCCTTATTGAATAGAAAAAGTATGATTTTTAAAAAAAATATTTTAACTAACTATTGGTATTCATTTTACGTGCTAGTATATCACAACTTTCTTTTTCAATTTGAAGAAAATGAGATTGATTATATGGAATATAAAGACGATATTCACATGTTCTTTCTTTTTTTAATTAAACTTCTCTACAAAAATGGACGTAAAACAGAATCTCAATTTTTATTCATTCAACTTTGTGCCAACCCTTGTGTCTTTCAAATGCAATCACAAGAGGATTTTTCTAATTTGGAAGCAAATCCGATTGATGTAGAAAAGAAGCAGGAATGCAGTTACAACACTGGTGGTGGTGGTGCTATTGTGAATCCCCAACATGAGTACAACTCTTTCCCTATAATTCAGTCAAATCAAGGATTGCATATGGCTAGTCAGAACGGTAGTACCTACAGCGCTAGCCACAGAAGTCATATGAACAATCCGATCAGTCAGGTCAGCCAAGTCGGCCAAATCAGCCAAGGTAGCCAAATCAGCCAAGTTAACCAAGTTAGCCAAATCAGCCAAGTTAACCAAATCAGCAGGAAGGACGTATCCAAATCGCAAGACCTTCAGAGTGCTGGAACCCACTTTGACTTCTTCACCTTCCAAGCGTGCGAAGTGTACGAATATCTTATGAGACAGAAGGACGAAACTTTTTTTTATGAAAGCCTTATCACGCAAAAAATTATTTATGCATACACATTACTAGAATTAGGGGTTCTAGAACAGGCAAGAAAATATATAGAAATTTTATACTACTATGTAGATGTAATTAAAAGCCAGAAGAAAAAAAACAATGATTTAGTGCATTTGTATGAGACCTTACTGAGTCATGCTAAATATGTTTTCCCGTCCTTACATTTACAAAATAAAAATCAGGAAATAAGTTCAACCGAAAATAACGACACCTCATCGAATGACTTTTTTTACAATGGAAAAAGTATATACAATTACAAAATTATTTCATCATATCAAGGTTTTCAACACGCAGATGCAGTAAATCAAAACAGGCAATCTGTTCAGGTGGGGAATACTAATAAATACTGTGGTATCAACGTGGAAAATATTACTACCGAATTGTTAACACATAATAACACTCAGATGGATGAAAACAAAAATGTAATATATGGAAGAGGAACAACGCCTTACGTACCATTTTACAAGGGATACAATGAAATAAACAATATGAATTCCCTTTTTGAAGATCAAAATAGGGGTGGTGCATTCAGCATAAATGACATGAACTCTACTCACGAGACGGAGATAATGGATAGAATCTCGAACCCGATCAGTTATAACAAGGATGGTAATAACAATAATGTTAGTGATAAAAACATTTTCAATAACGATACCATCACATGTATGCATCCAGATATACATATAGAGTCTAAGACAGAAAATAAAATTTCCCAAGGCATTGAAAATGATCCCAATTTCAACCCATCAGAACCGATTTACAGCGGTGCAACAAATTTGGAAGTTATCAGATGTCACGACCACCACCCCTCGAATAACAGCATAAATGTTTCATTTCAAACGAACGTTCAAAATTTAAGAAGTAATGAAAATTCATATTTTCCTAGTTATCCAACAGAATATGTTGGCACACAAGGCTCAGCTAATGTTAGAAGTGAGGTTAGAGCCATCCCACTTCAGCAGTGTAATAATGAAAGTGCACAAATGGGATATTTCTACAGCCAATACGAGGATGCGACCACTGCTGAACCAGGTGTGGCTACTTCTAAACTAGATGTGACGAATGCAGAACCCGTTGCAGGTGTAAGGACGACGACAGAGAATGATCGTAGAAATTATTACACAACAGAACCACTCCAACAGACGCAGATTTTACAGAATAACGAATACATAATGAAGAGTACTGAAGTTATTGACCATGGGCAAAGTAACTGGATTTGTGAAAATAGCGGATCATTTAAGCAGAACGAAATAATTAATTATCATATGAATAGTGATAATTTCACTTATTACTACAATGAGAGTATTGGAACTATTCCCCCAGTGCATGGACAAATACACCAAGGGGGTTCTAATGGCCCAGAAGCTTATCCAACAAGTGTTCCGTTTCATCGCTCGTTGCAGCAAAATGCATATCCTACAAATAGCCAGAATTATAATATAGTAGGGAATGTGCCATACAGCAATGACCCTGCCAAATCGCCTGAACGGTCAGGTAAAAATGGACCGCTGCAAGGAGTCCGCAATGAAACAGAAAATAAAAAGAATGGACAAGAAGTGCAACAACAGAATGAAGAAAACAACAATATGGATTTAATAAATTTAGGGAAGACATTCATTTCTGGATTTTTTTCAAACATAAAAGAAAAAATAACAAAAACAGAACAGGTAGAAGAGGAAGAGGAAAATATTTTTTACTACGATTATGAGAAAAAGAGATGGAGAGAAAAGGGTGTTACATCAGATGAGGAAAATGAAAGAGAGCGACAAAAAAAGCAACATGAAATGGAAATTAAAAATATAGCACCCCCACCTCTAGCACAAAATACATCAAGCGTGAACAAGAAAACCCCTCTTGACATAACAGACGTTCGAAGTAGGTATGTCGATTATTTTAAATGAGTATTCTTGAGGAAAAGAAAATTAACAGCCCATTATCTAACCCAATGGGGATAAAGGGGGAAGGAGAAAAGTTTTTTTTTTTTTTTTTTTTTTTTTTTTTTTTTTTTTTTTGAATACACCCATTGTTTGGTTTTGGTGGATGAAGATAGACATATATGCATGTCTCATCTTTCCACGTTCCGTATTTTTTTTTTTTTTTTTTTTTTTTTTTTTTGTTTGTTTTCCAAACGAAGTGTGGCCCATTTTCCTTATTTGGAGTTTGAATATCTTAGAACACTGCATCTTATAATAGCAGAGTTGCAGGATTTCATAAAATTTGCATAATTTTTATTAGTTCATTTAACCGGGGTAGGTTTTTTTTTTTTTATTTTTTCCTACATTTGAAAACATCAAAATATTCCATGTGGATAGGAATAATATGTGTACGTCATCTGTTGAATGTGTAGATTGACAACAGATATAGAACGAGGAAAATGAATGGGTGTAAATTATGAAAGTATACGCATTTCCATGTTTTTTTTTTTTTTTTTTTTTTTTTTTCCAGATTGGAAAAGCAGCAAGATTTGCACCTTTTTTATAATTCAACATCTTTTTAATCATTCACTACTGTGTAACTTTTTTTCCTTTTTCTTTTTTATTTTATTTTTTTTGCGGGAGAACTGTTATTTATTCTCCAATGGACGGCACAAAGAGAAGGTGTTAATTTGTGGGGTGAGAAAAGATTTATGAATTCAAATGTTGTGAATGAGTTGGAATTCAAAAATTCTTTTCTCTATGTTTTGACATGGCATGTATACGTATGCGTGTATATATAATGCTACTTATATCATTTCTTCTGATGTGTTTATTTTAACTGTACGTTTCTTCTCCTTCTCTCCTTGATATTTTTGCTAATTTTTTTCTTTTCTTTTTCCCTCACTACTCCCGCTGATTGAAAAACTTATAGAATAAACGTGCAAGTTGTAGTAAATACAAGTGGGATAAGCCAAATATGTAAAGCGCAAATGACACAAGGTGTGAAATTGAAGAAAAAAAAAAAAAAAAAAAAAATTATGTTATATCAAACGGAAATATAATCCTACCTTGAACTCATTGCGGCCCTTTTTTAACAAAGGGCTACCTCAACTAAAAAAAAAAAAAAAAAAAAAAAGAAATTAAACCAAGCAAAGGAAACAAAACAAAACAAAATCAAACAAAACAACGCAAAAAGAGGATAGTGCGAGATAAATAGTTTACTATTATACCCTTTTATTTTATTTTATTTATTTGTTTTTCCTTTTATATGCACGAACAAATTTATATGAAAACATGTGAAGGCTTGATTAATTCATAATTATGATCTTTAAGAATACAAGAATGATATGTAAGAAATTCTTACATCGTAGGTACTTAAGTTTATTTATACATTTCTACGTACAATTGTACATGTAAAAAAAAAAAAAAAAAAAAAAAAAGAGCTTCATTCTGAATGAGCCAAGAATTATTCGTAGTTCTCGCAGGAGCACATGTATAATTATAATAACACAAGTAAAGATTATACACTTGTTCCTTTGTACTCCATCCAATGTATATACATATATATATATATATATATATGTATGTATGTATGCAAAGAGGAGAATCAAATAAAAGAAAAACAAAAAATACAAATAAAGAATGCAAAAGTAGCAAAAGGGGAAAGGAATAGAAAACATAAAATTTTTTTCACATCTAAAACAGGTTTTATATATATATATATATATATATGTATATATGCTTTTTCTACACGTTGGACTAGGAATGGTTTTCGAGTGAAAATTGTGAATATTACTCCTTCCAACCAACTTGTGATATTTCACAAAGGAATAACCCCATTCCATCACCATCGATACCCACAAAAAAAAAAAAAAAAAAAAAAAAAAAAGAGAGAGCATCAGTGAAATGGCAAAGAAAAAAAAACAAATACATTTAAATATAATTGATTTTCAAAAATATTACCAGAAAGATGAATTAACAATAGAACCCAAATTTCCTGAACCCAAGAGAGCAGAAGAAAAAAGAAAAAAGATTTTCGAACAAAATGAATTTGTACAGAACATTGAATGGAGGACTTTAGATGAAGAAGGAAAAAACAATCAACATAATCAAAATGTAAATGGGAGGGAAGAAAACAGAAATAAAAATGTACTATTTGAAAAAAGCAATTTAAGAAAGTTGACTCACCACACATTACCCAGAGAAGCAAAAGCAAACAAAATATTCCAAATGGCGAAGATGTGGACTTCTCCAATCTTAGAATTAAGAGGGAGGGCGATGCAAACTTTAAAAATCTTAGAGGCAAGAGGGAAGATGATGTAGACTTCTCCAATGTTAGAACCCCACAAAATTACGAAATAGATTTTCCAATGTTAGAGATAAGAGAGAAGACGATCTAGACTTCTCCAATGTTAGAAACAAGAAGGAAAATGATGTCGACTTCTCCAATGTTAGAAACAAGAAGGAAATGATGTCGACTTCTCCAATGTTAGAAACAAGAAAGAAAATGATGTCGACTTCTCCAATGTTAGAAACAAGAAAGAAAATGATGTCGACTTCTCCATTGTTAGAAACAAGAAAGAAAATGATGTCGACTTCTCCAATGTTAGAACCCCGCAAAATAAGGACATAGATTTCTCAAATGTTAGAGGTAGGAGAGAAGACGATATCGACTTTGCAAACCTTAGAATTCAGAAGAAGGAAAATGATGTCAACTTCTCCAATGTTAGAAGTAAGAGAGAAGATGACGTGGACTTCTCCAATGTTAGAAGTAAGAGAGAAGATGACGTGGACTTCTCCAATGTTAGAAGTAAGAGAGAAGATGACGTGGACTTCTCCAATGTTAGAAGTAAGAGGGAAAACGATCTCGACTTTGCAAACCTTAGAACCCAGAAAAAGGATGACTTAGACTTCTCCAATGTTAGAAGCAAGAGAGACAACCAAATTAACTTTTCCAATTTAAGAACGCAAAATAATATCGACGAAGCAATAAAAGAAAAGTCGACAGCTAGCGAAAAGCCATACTACCTTAGACGATTAGAAGAACTGAGGAAAAAAAAAAATATGCAAGGAAAGGCTAAGGAGGATTCTGCTGCAGGTCGCTTGAACGGCGACGCGAAAGAAACAGAAGCAAAAGAAGCAGAAGTGAAAGAAACAGAAGTGAAAGATGAAGAAGCAAAAGAAGCAGGAGCAAAGGCTGCAAAGGAAGAAGAAGCAAAAGCTGCAAAGGAAGAAGAAGCAAAGGTTGCAAAGGAAGAAGAAGCAAAAGCTGCAAAGGAAGAAGAAGCAAAGGCTGCAAAGGAAGAAGAAGCAAAAGCTGCAAAGGAAGAAGAAGCAAAGGCTGCAAAGGAAGAAGAAGCAAAAGCCGCAAAGGAGGGGGAAGGAGGAGCGAAAAAGAAATTCGTGCCTAAGAGAGTAATTATGTATCAACAGGAGCTGAAGGAGAAAGAAGAAAGGAATTTGAGAATGCTGGAAGAACAAAAAAAACAGAGAGAGTTGAAGCTACAACTTCTTAAAAATGCAAATCAAGGATCGTCAACTTTTATACCCACAGCAAAATTGCTGTATATGCAAGCGCAAAAAGAGGGAAATCAAAATGAAGTAAAACATGATGAAGCATTAATGGATGGAAAAAAAGAAGATGCAAAAGGAAAGATTCCAAAATTAGAGACAACAAGAGGAGGTTCTACCCCACAAATAGGTTCAACTAATGAAGTTAGAAAGAGTGCCACTCTACTAAAGAAAAGAAATAATGTAGAACATAATAAAAGTACAAAAAGCATTTTCGAAGAAATTGCAGAAAAAACAGAAAATGCTAAAATTGTAGAAAAATTGGATATTGAAGAAATTGCAAAGAAAAGACGAGAAGAATTATATAAAAAACAGTTAGAAAAAATAACAAAAAAAAATGAAGAAAATGAAAAATATAACAGTGTATATAAACACGATTTAAATAATATTAAAACTTTTTATTTACAAATAAAAGACAAAATTGTAGAAAATCACTTTTTCAGTCAAGAGGAATCCATACAATTATGTTCCTCCCTCAAAACAGACCAATGTATGCATGCATACAAGAATTTGCACGATGTGTTTCTTGTGTAATGTATACATAGATATGTTCCATCGAGTATCCAAACATTTTGATACTCTCATATGATAACTACTCCTTTTGCTACTTTCATTATGTCACTTTTATTATTCCACTTTCATTATTCCACTTTCATTATGCCACTTTCATTATGCCACTTTCATTATGCCACTTTCATTATGCCACTTTCATTATTCCACTTCCATTATGTCACTTCCATTATGTCACTTCCATTATGCCACTTCCATTATGCCACTTCCATTTTCAGGCAATTATATGGAAAGCCACGTACCAATATTCGTCGCAATAGTTATTTTTATTTTAAGTCTACCCCAAAATTGTGCAGATGAAGTATATTTGGAGAGGGCGATGAATTTGAAGAATTTGTTTCTTCACCTGAAACAGGTACTTGCAATTGTGCAATTTTGTCTAATTTTTATGAAAAAAAATTTCCATTATGATTTACCCTTTTGTCGAATGTACATTTTCTCCAATCCTCCCCCTCACCCCTTATGTCACACACCTTACAGAATAGCAAAGTGGACAACCATGATGAGTATATTTTAAATGATGTAGTAAAAATATGTGATGGTAAAGGATATATAAGAATATATTCGAATTATACTCCCCCACACCATATTGGATTTTTTTTTTTTTTTTTTTTTTTTTTTTTTTTTTTTTTTACCCAATTTTGTTCCTCATCAGCGTGTTCATTTTTTCCATATGTACTTTACATATACTGTATATTTTTGCGTACGTGCAAAAGTGATAATATAGTTAATCCAATTATTACATCTCTCCACCCCTCTCTTACCCATCTTGAAGAATTGAAGTATCCGCACTTATCTGACGAAACATCATTAGTTGAAGCCGCTTTCGACTCTTTGCTTTTTTCAAGAATTATTCCAAAGGATTCATTTATAAAGGTAGGAAAATTTACTACCACTCCATCTATCTTTTCCCTATGAACACATGTGTGTGTGTAGGAGATTGTTATTATTATGAAAAAGGCATATCACATGGATATATTCATACAAAATAAGTGCACACTCTTGTGTGTCACATAAACATATATATATATATATATATATGTGTGTATATTATATGCACTTATATATGGCATATACACAATAGATATATTTTTCGTTTCTCTCCCCTATCAGTGGTTTGAAGAAGACAATCCTGACTCTGAGTTGAAAAGCAAAGCTATGCTACAGGTAAGAATCGATCGCATGTTGATGTACACAGAACATACTAATTGTTGAGAAACAATGTATGGATTGTTATAAATTCACAATAAACCATTGTACAAGCAGTGATATTTGCTTGTAATTGTCTCCCGACGATTGCTTTATTTTACGAGCAAAATAACTGTAAAATGACACCTAGGGACGACAAAAAAATAAATAAATAAATAAATAAAACAAAATAAAATAATAAAAATAGGATAATAAGTTGCCAAAAAAGCAAGAGGAGAAAAAAAAAAAAAAAAAAAAAAAAACTATATTAAAATGAAAACAACGTGAAAGAAGAAACAAGTTGTAGCACATAAAAAAGATTTTTTTATCATAAAATAAAAATACAAGTTTAAAAGATAAAAAAGGAAAGGCATGTGCTAACAATTCAAAATGTTTGCAACAAATAAATCTATGCTTTCTCTTCATGTATTGAGCTGAATAACACGCGGGAAAAAAAAAAAAAAAAAAAAACAGCAAATATTGCAAATACATGAAATGATAATGTGTATTCATTTCTAACATACTTCATCCAACATATTTAGTGTCCATGTGTGAGCTTATTTTTTACCACTTTTTTACACGAATGTATTGAAACAAACATATGTTTTTTTTTTTTTTTTTTTTTTTTTCGAACGTATACCTCCCCTCCCTTCTCCTGGGCACATAGTTAATCTATTGGCACAAATGGCTAACTGAAAATGAACCAGAGGATATAGACGACGCTGAAGAACTCGAACCTGAATATGAAGAACAGCAGGATAAGGAAATTAATAATGAGGAAGACATTCAGGAGAACCTTCCCAAGAGTTATCTTTTTAAAAAAATAAAGAAAAAGATCTTTTAGAATTTTAAAAATATGAAATTTTTTTTTTTTTTTTTTTTGCGTCATCAGTTTTGCCCTTCTCTATATGCTGCAACTGCCCGTTGCATTTTCCTTCGTTTCCTTTCTACGTTTCCTTTCTACGTTTCCTTTCTACGTTTCCTTTCTACGTTTCCTTTCTACGTTTCCTTTCTACGTTTGCCTCTCCACATTTGCCTCTCCACATTTGCCCCTCCACATTTGCCCCTCCACATTTGCCTCTCCACATTTGCCTCTCCACATTTGCCCCTCCACATTTGCCTCTCCACATTTGCCCCTCCACATTTGCCTCTCCACATTTGCCTCTCCACATTTGCCCCTCCACATTTGCCTCTCCACATTTGCCCCTCCACATTTGCCTCTCCACATTTGCCCCTCCACATTTGCCTCTCCACATTTGCCCCTCCACATTTGCCTCTCCACATTTGCCCCTCCACATTTGCCTCTCCACATTTGCCCCTCCACATTTGCCTCTCCACATTCTTACTGCCGTCCACATGAATTTTTTTACCCCAATTTTTCAAACATGTCATTTAAAAAACTCTAATTAACTATTTTGAACAACAATATGTATTTCAAAATTCTAACAATAAGATCATTTGTTCATAGAAACTAAAAACATGTGTGCCAATGTTTTAAAAAAAAAAAAAAAAAAAAAAAACGTTTGTAAATGAAGGGGGTGGAGATCGCCCCTTCCGGGCACTATGTGGTATTACGAAGTGTGTATGCGTGTGAGATACACATATAGGAGGAAAGCAGTGAGCACTTTATGCACATGCCATGGGATGTATCGTTTTGTTAACTTCGCACAAATCTTTTTATTTTGTTTTTTCTTACTCTCTTTCACATTTTGCATGCACATAAGCGAAATAAAAAAAAAAAAAAAAAAAAAAAAAAAAATATGGAAAATCCTCAGGTATATTATTTTTTTCTTTCCTCCCCTCCCTTTACAATGACAAAATTGGGAATGATAAAAAAAAGGAGACGAATAAAAAAGAAGGGCATTGTAGGGGGAGTGGAGATAAATACGGAGAAATGGCTACAAAAAAGTAGTCAAAAAAAAAAAAAAAAAAAAAAAAAAAAAAAAAAACACTATTAATTTCAATAGTAAAAAAATGCAGAGTGCACACATATGGCATCAGGGGGGGTGTCGAAAGAGAGAAACAAAAATTTACGCAACGTCACTTGTGTAGGGGAATAAAATAAGGGGCTATAAAAATATTATAAAGGCCATTTTTTATTGGCAAGAAAAAACAAAATTAAATTTTGAGAATGTATCTCACCACATTTTTGTCCATATCCTTTTTCTTCACAAGTGATCCCAGAAACCTCAGTAGCGCCACAATTTTTTTTTTTTTTTTTCTTTTTCTTTTTTTACTATTAAATTCAAAAAAACCCGAGCCCCCTTCCCCAATTCTACTTGCACACGGCTCCACAAATATAAAGCATCGCTCTTTTTTTTTTTTTTTTTTTTCTACGCATTTGTTTTACCTTAATTTTTTAACCTCAATTTTTGGCCCCAATGTTTTACTTCAATTTTTTAATCTCCATTTTTTGCCCCAATTATTTTGCCTCAATTTTTTAATCTCCATTTTTTGCCCCATTTATTTTGCCTCAGTTTTACACCTCAACTTTTACTACATTTCTTTTATACCGCTACACAGTTGGCGTTTTCTTATGGCACCTTTTTTTAATGCGATCAATTTTTGAACAACGTACGACAACGTAAAACTCTCACAGAGTCAGAAAAAAAGGGAATACTTACTTTCATACTTACACGCAATTGTATAATTGTCTCATTGCATAATTAAACAACTGCCATCATCGCATAATTACCTGCATATACCTACGTACCTCTCCGTGCATATTTATTTAAACACTCCTGAGGGACAAAATGACGACATATACTTTGGTTCTTCTGAGGCATGGTTTGTTTTCAATAAATGGAGGAAAAAAAAAAAAAAAAAAAAAATGACGCAAAATATATATGTCATATATATATAACACGAAACACACAATTATTTCGACTTGTGTGAAAAGGCTCATGTGCCAATTTACCATCTAATAATTTTACCGCCCCCTCTTCCAACTCTTTCCTTTTTTTTTCTGACATACTCATGAGGGATGAAGGGAGGGGGGGGATGGAATAATTACTTAAGTCACATGATGGTTTCATTCACATATACATTCCACAGCATACACTTTAATTACCTCTTTTGTTTTCACGTAACACATTACATCTATCCTGTACTAACTATTAGGTGAAAGTACTTGGAATAAAGAAAATAAATTTACTGGATGGACAGATGTACCTCTGAGTGAAAAGGGAGAACAGGAGGCCATGTAAAAATTTTTTTTTTTTTTTTTTTTTTTTTTAAATTTAAATTCAAATTCGACAAAAAAAAGTGCATAAAAAAATTGGAATACACTCTCCACAGTGCAGCTCAGCGAGATGTGACATTTAAATAAAAGTTTTCGTTTTCCTATTCGTATGTTTTGTATGCATCTTTGTTATTACACTGAAAGCATCTTTTTTTTTTTTTTTTTTCCTATGACTTACAGAGCTGCTGGAAATTACCTGAAAGAAAAAAATTTTCGATTTGACGTTGTATACACATCAGTACTGAAAAGAGCAATTACAACAACATGGAATGTGTTAAAGACAGGAGACCTTTTACATGTACCTGTCATAAAAACGTGGAGATTAAATGAAAGACATTATGGATCATTACAAGGATTAAACAAATCCGAAACAGCGAAAAAGTATGGGGAAGAACAAGTTAAAATATGGAGAAGATCTTATGATATCCCCCCACCCAAATTGGACAAAGAAGATAGTAGATGGCCAGGGCATAATATTGTATATAAAAACGTTCCAAAAGATGTATTACCATTTACAGAATGTTTAAAAGATACTGTTGAAAGAGTGTTACCATTCTGGTTTGATCATATTGCACCAGATATCTTAGCAAATAAAAAAGTTCTCGTATCTGCACATGGAAATAGCTTAAGAGGATTAGTTAAGCATTTGGATAACTTAACCGAAGCAGATGTGTTAGAACTTAACATTCCAACAGGAGTACCTTTAGTTTATGAATTGGATGAAAATCTTAAACCCATTAAACATTATTACTTATTGGACAGTGAAGAGTTGAAGAAAAAAATGGACGAAGTAGCTAACCAAGGAAAGGCAAAATGAGCCAACCCCCCTAAGTCTAAAGGAGGAAGAGAAAAGTTATATGAGGAAAAGCAAAGGACGAGAAAAAAAAACACATGAAGGAGAAATGCTATCCAGATAAATATATAAAACGATGTAGATCTTACGAAACCACAGAATGTTTACATTTCTGGATCACCCAACATGTGATATCATGGATATATATGCACAGCCAATACATGAAAGTGTACATGTGAGTAGTAGTAGGTGAATGGACATTTCCCTATAAGAGAGCCCCAAATCAAGTCCTAAAAATATACATATAAACCAGATGTATTGCTACGAGTGGACATAATGATAATCGGTTAATGATGAATACATTAAAAAAAAAATTTTTTATGGTATTGTGACCTCCACTCCCATGCACTTCCGTTGGAGCAAGTTGGGGCTGACTCGGGGAAAGAAGCTTGTACAAGGCTATTATTGTATGTAATTTTTCCCCCACGCACAAATGTGTATATACACATACATATATATACACATGCATATATATACACATACATATATATGCACATACATATACATATATGTACATGTAAATACGTATTCACGCCGCGCACCCACCACAGAATCGCTTTTTCTCCTCTGTATAGACACTTGCATGTACTAGGAATAAAGTGTTCGCTTTTATGAAAATGCACATTTACGAAAAATTGCACTGGCACAAAAAAACAAACTGAAAATTGACTAGAAAAATAAAATTAAAAACATGCTTATATCACCATATCAAGCTACGGTAAGAATGGGTTCGTTGACATACATTCATGCAGGAGAATAGTACTATTTTAAAAAATGGCCATACTCTCCTCGGTAGCAAACCTTTAATATGTATAAAGTTTATATGTGCAGACAGCATCATTGAAGTCGCATAAGCAGCGCAACTGAACTGTGCAACCGAGCTGTGAGACTAAACCATGTGAATCCTTTTTCATTTTAAAATATCTTTCCCTGCTTGCACGCGTTATCTGTTATGTGCTGCGTACAAAAATGAAACGTAAAGAAAAGAACAGAAAAGAAAAGAAAAAGGGGAAAAAACAGGGAAAAAATACCCAACCATACTAAAAGACCGTTCTCCACTCCAATTCAGTCCAGTTTCCTAATTCTAACTTTAATTTTACTTCGAATCAAATTAATCTCAAATGATTCTCCAATTCGTCTACCACACTCCGACACGTGCTGCGTCTCTACTTTTTAACGACCCGCACACAGTGAAAAAACGCTTGCCTTGTTTACCCGTTTTGAAACCCCCCAAACGTTTATTTTGTGTCCGCGTCCAGGTGTATGTTCACGCGGATTTGTGCAAACACAAGCACGTAAGCTACACATACATATGTATATGTATATGTATATATATATATATATTCTAAAAAGGAACTTTATCCCTTTCCACATTTATCACATTTTTTTCTCTCATGGTTCTTATACCAATTTTTTATTCTTTCACATAGTCATTTTTTTTTTTTTTTTTTTTTCTGCATCAGGCAAAAGCGTCTAATTATTTAAAATTTTCATATACATCGATTGTGTTTTTTTTTTTTTTTTTTTTTTTTTTTTCCATTTCTTAAAAGCGTGTATGTATATATACGTACATGTATATGCTTTGTCTTTCATGTGTGCAAAAAGCACAAATCAAATAGCTAAAAAGTGTATACATCCAAATATGCTTATTTTACCTGTCATGTTAAGGGAAAATAAAAAAAAAAAAAAAAAAAAAAGTCCCATAAAATTGGGGTAAAAAATAACATACTTCGTATGAACAACTCAGGTAAAAAATAAAAAAAATAGTACATATTCATGTACACATGTAGTACAGAATGCATATGCATACATAGTATGTACACATATATATATACATGATATACATCACATATGTATAATGCTTACATAATGTAATTAAAACAAAGCAAAACAGACGAAAAAAGCAAACCTAAACAAACCAAAACAAAACAAAACAAAAAAAACAAACCAAAACAAAAAAAACAAAGCAAAGCAAAACAAAACAGAGCAAAATAAAGCAGAAATTTCACGGACGTGCACAAGAAAAAAAAAAACAAAAAACAAAAAAAAAAGATTTAAAAGGCAGAACTGTGAAATTTTAAGTTTTGACGAAATTAAGTACGCTTTTTTTATTTTATTTTATTTTATTTTATTTTATTTTTTCTTCTTCATTTTATTTTATTTTTATGCTATTTTTTTTATTTTGTTTTACTCATCGCATTTCGTGTGTTGTTCTTGCAAGCAAACGGCTGGATGAATTTTTCTTTTTGCCTCTTTTCTTTGCAACGATTATTTTAACGTGTATGCATATTTACACTCGTTCACATGCATAAATAGTGCCACCCCAAACAGCTGGTACATAGCCAATGAAACATGTAGAGGGAGTAGCACTGCTGGCAAGAAAGAGTGAAAAAAAGACGATTGAAGATTCAAGAGTGATAAAGGGGATGAGCCAATGTTTATTCCACAGAAACAGAGCAAAAAGAAGATAAAAAAAAAAAAAAAAAAATCACCACTCACTTAAAAGGAATAATTTTCGATGAACGGAGCCACTTTCCTCCTAATTTTGAAACATAATGATATTCTATAAGGCACAAATTTTATTTTGATACATGAATCGAATCAGTAAGTTTCTACGAAAAAGATAACCTTTCCTCCCTTCCGCCCTCTCTCACCAAGACTACAAAACAACACAGTATAAGGTGGCCAAGCCCCAAAACGATTGAAAATTTAATTCTTTCAATTTCCTTACTAGTAATAACATAAACAAAGAAGAGAAGAACATGTCTACATTTAAAAAAGCCGTCACTTACTACTTTGCCATAGTATCATTATTTTCTGCAGTTTTTTTGGCACTTATTGGCCTTTTGTTATTGTATGACTCTGATTCATTGGAATTACATGGGAATAAATCAGAGAAGGTGAAACCTTCATTTATTTGTGCAGGGGTAAGTAGGAGAAACGATGAAATATTTGCATTAGTGAGAATAACCCACTCTCCCTTTTGTATTATTTAATGTACACCAAACTTTTGTGTATCTACTCGGATAGCGTACTGGACTTTTTTTATGAACATGCATAATACACAGATTTTTTGCATAATCAAAAGTGTATATAGTGTGTGAAGTGTTGTAAATTATTTTCCATCACCACCATATCACTACCACAAGAGGGAAATAACCAAAACATCAAATGTATATTTAGAAATGGTGAATTTCAAACCGATGAATGCTTTCTTTTTTTTTTTTTTTTTTTTTTTCCTTCCCCTGCAGATATATTTTTGCATACTAATCGTTAGTACCATTGAGATATTCAGAAATAGTCGAAAATCAAAGAAATATAAAAGTACGAAAATTTAGCATAGAAACAGAGAGACCGCACACACATAAGTGGTCCATCCACTAAATTTTGATTTTATTAAAAGTTTGTCATACACCTTTTCCACGCAAATATAGAAACATATACCGATAAAACCTATGCATCTACTCACACACATATACCCCTCACCCTTAGTCTTTCTTTTTTTTTTTTTTTTTTTTTTTTTTTTTTTTTTTTTTTTTGAGCACTCGTCCAAGATGAACGGCTCAGTTTTATACCAGGCACTATGTTTCCTTGTGTTGTGCATGTATGCATAGATGGTAAAGCACGAGGAGAATTTTTCTATCCCCATTTGCACATGCTTTTACATTATTGTTTTTGTCTGAATCGTTCGAATGCAATCAACTTGGTTTGAATTAGAAAGGGACACAAAGTGAAGGAAGAAAAGAAGGAAGAAAGAAAGGAAGAAAGAATGGAAGAAACAAAAAAAAAACAAGGAAATAATCTTCATGTATATATTTATTTAAAATTTTCCTACGTTTCTACATTCCTTCTTTTCTAGCTTCCTGTTCTTTATTTTCTTTTTCTTTTTTTTTTTTTTTTGCGAAAAGAATATTACTGCTTTTATCTCCAATCCCACCCCTTTTTTACGTGTAGAAAAACATATGAACCAACCATTTATTATATGCCTTTATTTTTATTTTTTCTTTCTCTCATTATTTTTTTTCCATCGATGCATATACTTTAAAGAGTTTAAAATGCTAATTTTTCTCTTGTCAATTTTGGTTTTTTAATTTATTTTTTTCCTAGCAGAATATTCAAGATGTTTGTGTGATATTTGTGTAAACATATGTATGTATAAAATGTATACATATAAATCATATACATGTACATATACATACATATTTATATTTCTCCCCCTTTTAGTATTCCTTTTAAATATATGTTACATTCTTAATAACACGTAATTTACATAATTAAGCTGTTTTTTCTGCTTCTTTTTTTGCTGTTTTTGCTGTTTTTTTTTTTTTTTTTTTTTTTTTTTTTTTTCTTGAATTATTCTCCCTTTTCTTAATTTAAATAATAATCACTCATTTAAGTAACCATACACACACACACACACACACACCATCCTTAACTTTTGTACACCATTATTTTTATAAGTAATATAAAGGAGAGTTGTTGCTAATGTTTGCAACCATAATTCATCATATATATAATCGAAATATTGATTCTACACGCCTACAGTGTAAATGCTCAAGTGCATGTACACATCAGCACGTATTTATTAACAGGTGTGTCCCCTTATAACAAAGCTTCTAAATTTTAAGTCCTTTACAAGATTGGTTTTGAACGAAATAAGGAAAAAATCGTTTCACTGTGTGCGTGCATTTGCATTGGGGTTAGCACTTACAGCTGTTTGAAAAAAAAGTTTAGTTTTGTAATTTTCCACTCCTTTGAAATAAAACTATTTAATGCTGTGCGCTTATAACCGTGCAGTTTTTCATTGTGCACCATTACTAGGTCCTCCCTCCTGCTTCCCCCATCCCTTCCCATCGTCTCCTTTTTATTATTTACTTTTTTTTTTTTTTTTTTTTTTTTTTTTTTTAAAGAACACGTTTGGTGCATGAAAAAGAAACTTCTGTACTGTGAGGCCGCGTAAAGATTATGTGTTACCTATGCAAAGTAGCGAGAGTGCAAGAGAGTAAGAGAAAGCAAATGTGTATACTCATTTGGTGTACACTTCTTCGTAATACAAAATAAAAAATAAGCATGTTCCAGTGTAATCATATAACGAATTACAGATGTAGACTTGCATATGTGTACACGAGAAGACCAAATGGTTATGTGTTTATAAGATGGCTAACAAATTTGACAAGCCAAAAATGTGAAAATAATATTTTTTCAAAAAAGAATTTTAACAATGTGTTCATGCAAAATATAAAAACTACACAAGATGGTCAGATAAAATGTGAGCGTCTTTTTTTTTCAAAGTACAGCTTACCCTATGTTTTGAGTAAGAAGACAAATAATGAACCACACTTATGAATCATACTTATATATAAAGCACACTTATGAATCACACTTATGAACCACACTTATGAACCACACTTATGAAGCATGTTCGTTCTTATGCGCCCATTCCTCCATTGTGTCATTTTTCCACCACCCTCGCCACACAGATATCCCTGTAAGTGACCTAAGGCTGATCGACCCAAGCAACAACCACAACCCCACCTTGCTGGTCAGAAAAAATATGATATTGCTTCGAACCGGATTCATGAGTTGCGTAATTCGATTCAACGAATTGTGGCTATTCGAACCCAGTAACCCTTTAGTGAAGAAGGCTACAAATTTAATTAAAAAGAATTTTAGGAAGAAAGGAGACTTCACAAATGATGAAATTGTAGAAGATGATATAGTCAACACAGTATTACAAGTAGACAAGAAAGAAAAAATAGCTAGTGCACAAATAGCTAGTGCACAAACAGCTAGTGCACGAGTAGCTAGCACACAGGATGACATGACTATTTTTGGAGAACGTAAAGACTGCTCGAGAAGAGACCGTGGGGATATCCCAGGAAACGACGACATAAACCACATGAATGTAAAAAATAGCTTCTATAAATATAAAGCAAGTATGTGCTTTGAGTTTCTATGTCTAGACATATGCATGCAGTTGTCAATTAAAGAATATGAATTGGAGTTGTATAATCTGAATGGAGAAATAAAAGAAATCATTTTGCAACAGAGGAAGGAAGAAAATAACGAAATAAACATGCTAACAAATAAATTACTAAGAGATATGATGAAAATAAAAAATAATTTACAGAAATTCTCCAACTTGTTGAATTCTTTGCGTACCTCGATTGAAAAAATTTTAAAAAATCGCTTAGATATGGAAAACATGTATTTAACATTTATCAATACAGACTTAACAAAATCAAGTGGATTAGAGAACCCATTAAAAGAATGTACTGATTTAGAAATACTACTCGAAACGCACCTACAGTTGACAGACGAATTGTATGGTGAACTAGAAAATGTTGAAGAGAAAATTACACATTATGAAGAATTAATGCGTTTGAATTTAGATTACAATCGAAACAAATTCATATTGTTAAATGCCAAAATTTCATTTGCAACATTGTTCTTTTCTATCTCTTCTGTTATTACGAGTCTTTTTGGGATGAACTTAAAAAATTTTGCTGAAAATAATGACTATGCTTTTTTACTCGTTTCTTTTTTCGTTTTCTTTTCTTCTCTTTTTGGTTTGAATCTAACAAAAAATATCAACACTATTTTGAAGTTTTTCGACAAGTATAATTTGAAATAAGACTTAACGAGAAGGCAAATTAGATGGAATGGATTCACTGAGCAAATTGAAACATATTTCTATACAGAAACGAAGCTGGCCAAATGGACAAAAAATGGGCAAAAAATGGGCAAAAAATGGGCAAAAAATGGACAAAAAATGGACAAAAAATGGGCAAAAAATGGGCAAAAAATGGGCAAAAAATGGGCAAAAAATGGACAAAAAATGCCATGTCACAAGCACAATTTTTCCTTGGCATTCAGAATTGCCAACTCCTGCAGAGGTGTTGAAAATGGGAGGAAAAAATAAAGGAAAAAAGAGAAATATCAAAATGTTGAAAGATAGAAATGATGAGATGTCAAAATGTTGAGATGTCAATATGTTGAGATGTCAAAATGTTGAGATGTCAAAATGTTGAGGGATCAAAAGAAGAAAAAAAAGGTTTGTCTTTATATGTCCATACTGCCGCACACAAATGGGAAATGTGCATCGATAGAAATGTTTGTATGTACACAAATACAGGGTGTTCTGCTCACCAATTTTTTCCTTTTTTTTTTTTTTTTTTTTTCTCCTCCTTTTGTCAATTGTAGTATCATCCATTTGTCTACATTTGGTAAAAATGTACATACAGACACGTGTACATAGAGTAGTAAATATGTATCTGCATTGAAGCATAGACGTATAGACATGTAGCTGCATAGATGCACGTGTACACATTTTACCTGACCTTACCTTACCCCTTTGAGGGTTAATCTCTTTTCCCCTATTTGGCACGTCTCCACTTCCAGCTGTGTTTAACCTCATCAATGATTTGACTTTCAAACATATAACACATGCACAAAAAAACTTAAGTGTAAACCATGTATAACTTGTTAATGCTGTTAATTCATTGATGTGGCTTTTTTTTGTATAGACTAGAATTGTATACACACGAATCTCTTCAACTCTCCTACATGTACATTGGGGGTGGGTGGGTCAGAAGAGCATGACAAACAATCCCCGATTCCAAAGGAATGAAGTCATGGAATATATCCACCACATATTACTGACAAAAGAGTGAGTTATGCAAAGGGAATGAAATAAACAAATCAGAGTAAGCCAAACGGAAGTAATGGTAGGTCATCCCTCAAAAAGACACGTGATAATTATTGTCATATGTACAAATACCAAAAATATGCAACTTTTCCATCGTTGTTTACCCCAAAAAAAGGTCAAAATCATTAATGCACACACACATTCCTCTATACTCTACCTCTAAAGAATCGTCCTTTTTTTTTTTTTTTTTTTTTAACTCAAATAGACATATTCTTGAGTACCGAATAAGGGGAATGGGTACAAACATAATAATAATGTGATGACAATATTTGTGTGAATAAATAATAACCTTCCCCCC